CAGCCGCATTACTGGTATTAAGGACCAGTAAAGGCTAAGAAGCGGTGCTATAATCACACATGTTTGGCTTGAGTGGAGGATCTGGCTATTGCCAAATCTCCAACATATGGTTATTCACAGGTCTATGGGTAGTGTTGCCCAAAATCGGTCTGTGTCTTGCACTTTGCAAGACCAAGACCAAGGCCGCCTAACTGTTGCAAGACCAAGACCAGGACTGGTAAAAAAAATGTTTTTAATAACAATTTAAGGCAAAATAATTCCTAATACTCGACAATCTTAGTAACTATGTGTAAATAATTGGTGTAACCAATATAGTTTTGCATTTAATTCCTCTAATTTTTCATTCAGGCTTAGTTAGGTTTTTCCTATCTAGAAAATACAGTACTGTAAGATTGTTGCGATACTCTTGTGCAAGTTAAAGACCATGACCAAACTGAGTTTGCAAGACCAAGACTCGTCTGGGTCTCGCATTTGGGCAACACTATCTATGGGCCACTGGCGCTTCAACCTTCGCGGAAGATTGTAAGGATGCGCGGTGCGAGGGGATTTGGATGATAGGTAAGGTTCTCGTGAAAATTGGAGATTTTTTCTGGGATAAGGTCTAGGACAAATGGGATATTAACTGTAGTATAGGGTTTTGTTAGTTGCATAGAATTGAGCATCAACTATTGTTCGAAGGACTTTAGATTGAAAGGATGCTTGTCTCATATCGATTCATCGAAATACCAACGACGTTTGTACTGAATGTTGGACGTTAACCAAAGCCCAGAAAAATCAACTCTTCCGATTTGAAAGAAAGGTATTAAGAAGAATTTTCGGAGCGACGTTTGATGCCCATGAGCTACCTTGGCGGATTAGAACAAATGCCGAAATATCTGAGATGTACAAGGACTGCGAAGTTGTGCGCTTCATCAGGGTGGGTTGAGCATGTGGCCAGGATGAATGCCGACTCAATACCAAAGAGGCTCCTAGAAGAAGAAATTCATACCACCAGAAGGCGTCGAGGAAATTAGGCGAAGGAATCGAGAAGAATGGCGGACCTTACATGACCCCTCGCGGGTTGCAGAGCCGTGGAAGGAGTTTTGAAACCTTCTACTATTTACGATATATTTTATTAAAGTTATAGTAGACCTTAATGATTTGAAATTGGGATTCGTCATTTTCCATTAAATTCTCTATCGTTTGATTCCACATTCATGAAAATCCCATCATTCCTGAAAGCCAGAAATGTGACCTATACTAACGTATTATATATAGTGCAGATTACGGACCAATACTTTTCATTTATGTTTTTCCAATCAAGTTGGCCCTGGTCCATTGAACCATCGCCGGCCGAGGGTTCCTTGAGGCTGCACTTGGCAACGTATAAATAACTGGCACTGGCAATTATCTTATGTTCGGTTTTAGTAGAGTTGCAAGTCTATGTTTACTCCCAATAGTTTACTCTATCCGTCAAGATCGCTGCTTTCTATTTTGTGTTTTAGTTAGCTATGCGTTTACAATTTATCTTGAGGAATAGCAAACTACCAGACAAGCGTAACACTCGATGCATATTTTGGGATGTGAGGAAGTCATACAGCCTAGGTTCAACGGCCGAGTTCAATGTAAGTCAAGAAACTCACAGTTTTTCTTATTGGAGAATTTTAATCATTCTTTGAGAGTTTCGGCAGGATTCGAACAAGTCGCTCTTTCATCTCTCAAGTATTCGAGTCGGAATAGGAACTCTTCTCAAAGCGAAATTGAACTAAAGATGTAATAAAAGTAATCGTAATTGGAAAGAAGCTAACTAGAGATTGGGTACCGATATCAATTAAAATATCTAAAATTTATTTATAAATTTTCTGGGGGACCCATCAGCTGTTCGGGGTGAAGTAGTTTGGCTATTCTTATATTAGTACGCCTGCACCTAAGTGTAAAATTTTATTAACATTTTTTTTTTTAACTTACATTCACACATGTCAAAGAAGCCATCATCAATCAGTGAATTTGATGTTCATTCTTGTAAATACAATGGCGTGAGAAAAATGAGATGAAGTGCCCAGCGGTACCTTCTCCTAGCGTGATATTTATATTAATTGTTAGGCGAGGAGATCCCTCACCCAGCTTTTCAACATTCTACGGACGTTGTCAGGCATGTGTGATGTGGCCATGTCGTTAATATGGGTTTGTATGTATTCGTTAATAATCGATATGTGAAGGTCAGTGTTAGTAAGTAGTTATAAGTAACTTTTATAGCACTAACCAGCATCTTAAAAAAAAGTATTGAAAGATTTGAGAAAAAAATCTTCCGCACGATAGCCGAAGCTATCTGGGATCAGAGTATTAACGCATGTAGGAAAAAGACCAATAAAGTACTGCTTACAGAAACTGGTCAATCAATATCCCACGATACGAAGACACAGAGGTTAATATGGGCGGGGTATGTAGCTCGTAGCAATCCATCTTGCAGCCTCCACTTAACAATGAATGCATTCAATATATGGAAGGCAAAAGACTACGTGGATGGCCAAAAACAGATGGACAGATTAAATCAACGAAGATGCAATAGAGCTGAAAAAGATATAGCTAAGACAGACATAGATGGAGCAGGCTTGTTAAGACGGCAAAATATCTACAATGTCTGTAATGCCGAAAGAAGCACAGAAAAAAATTACTTTGTAATGTCAATGTGATGTTAGTCATGTGGCTATTAATCAATAAATATCTAATCATTATTACTGCAGACAAACTCGTTAATCTTCAATGTTATAATAATCACTACTGCATTGCCATTAATATCTCTCCAGTGTTACAGACATAACTAATTTAGTAATTAACATAAATAATTAATAATTTTTTTGTGCAATAACCTATCCTAGTTGTAGACAGTTTTCATGAGAATAAAGGATTAAACTAGTTGAGAAGGAAATTCAATCATGTTCGTTTGAAGGTCAATATAATACTATAACTTTGTATTGTATTATTATTATTCTTTTTTTTTTTAAATAAGTTATTTATAACTTTTGAATAATTCTATTCATATCAAGTGATGTCACTTTCTTGAATTTTAAGCAGATGGTTACCACATGGCATACTCGATTAAAAATTAAAAATATTGTTCGTTTTATAAATTTCTTAGTTTAGGCCTTAATATATGATATGCATATTTGCATAGCATATATTTTATAAATTTTATGTTTTAAAATGTCTATCCTCGTTGGCGTTGCTTTTAATCGGTGTCTCTTATGAATGGACTGTTCCAAGCAGCTTGACAAAAAAATACAAAAATGATCCATAAAGACAGAAAATGTCTTTTAGGGAATATGGTAAATTATTACAATTTCCGTCGGTAATTATATACAATATTGAAATATGTAATATTATAAAGTCATGTGATAAATACAATTTTCATATGTATTTTTCGTCCTTTAAAGTACAATAATATTGAAGCCGTTACATTGATAGCAACTAAACGTGTATATGAATTTCGTTGGCCTGTTATTAATTCATTAGTTAGCTATTAATTAATATGAAATCCTGAATCCGCTACTGACACAATCCCTTCCAAGAATAACTCTTATTTCTGATTTTCGCCGTCTGAATTTCTGATGGATTTGAAATTTAATTTAGTAATTGTGTGTAAAGTTATTATCACTATGTCCTCCATACTTGCTTGCTATGATTATGATTTAGATAATTCTATAGTCTAGATCGTTGTTACAACAAACTTGAATTTGTGTCGTTAACAGGAAACCGGCATGCTTATCATCAGCATCATCGCTTCTTTTACTCAATAAATACTAAAAATCTAAAAGAGTCATTGTTCTTACATTTCTGTGAACTTTTGTTATTTTTAAGCTGATTTATTTGTATGTGGATGACAAAAAGGATATTAGTCATTTATTGTAAACATTCAAATGGTACTGTAGCTGTTTATGAGATACCACTACAGACCTTGTAGACTGATATTTGGTCGCCTAAACTAGCCTCTTCCTCTACCTCTGCCTATCTGGGTCTCGTTAATTATTATGTAAAGGCTTTCTGTGGATTACTTGGAGCTACATATCCCGGACAAATTAACCTCCTCGCCTTCGTATCATGACACAGGACAGTTTCTGTAAGAAATTCTTTATTGGTCTTTCCCCTCCGATCTCAGATCGCTCTATTTTCGTGCAAAGGACTTATCTTTCAATTATTATTTTTAGAGTACTGGTTTATGTCACGGGCGGATCTACGGAGGGAGAGAGGCTTTGGGGCTGAAGCCCCCCCCCCCAAAATAGGAAAATATAACCATGCTTTAAACATGATATACATTTAACAAAACACCATTTCATATAGGTAGTTAGTTTCTTTCTTTTTTTCCAAAGTAATTATCGTTATTTTTTATTTTAAAAAAATCTTTAGGGCTGGAGCCCCCCAAATTAAATACTAGATTCGCTAAATCTGGGCAAGGTTTAGGATTTAGGCAAGGATATTTCAATACTTTTGAAAGATAGAATAAAGCTCTATTTGCGTCTATATCAAGACTATATTTTATATCAAGACTGGTAGATTTTTCCGATATTTCAATACTTTTGAAAGATAGAATAAAGCTCTATTTGCGCTTGTACGCTGGTCTATTTCTGAATTTATCTACTCTTGTGAACAACTTTCCATCGGCTAACTGTCGTATTTTTTTTTTATCTCATTTGTCTGTTGGCCAATACGCTCTGCTTCCTTGTCAGAGTCTTAGCCAGTCTCTCAATGTTCTCTTGATTACTTCAGAGGAAATATATATCATCTGCATATCCGAGTTTTTTAAGATTCGTTTTGACATTTACACTTTCATTTTTACCTATGTTCTTTCTTACCATTTTCATTACTTTGAACCGAATTGGTGAGAGACCATCTCTCTGCCTTAAGCCCATTAGAATTTCTAAGGATTTCCGGTTCTTTGTCATATACATACATATATTTTTTAATATCTACATAGACTATTTTTATTTGTGAAATAATTTTTAATTTATTAATTTTTTTTTTCTTTAACAGATAGTGGAGGAGCTTTGCCCTCTTGCTCACGTGGTAAAACTATGAGGGAGTTTGAAGCAGAATTAGCAGACCTCAAGCAGGAGAACTTCGAGTTGAAGATGCAACTTTATGTCTTGGAGGAACAGAAGGAAGCTCTCGAAGATGAAAGGGATGCAGTGGAACTCCGAATCAATTACCAGAAACTTATGGTAAATTTTTGTTATGCTTATAATTGTAGGATTTGACAAGTATTTTAATATCAAATCATTTTTAAACTCAAAAAACAATTGTGTTTGCTCTACAACAAAACAAGGATATTTGGTCTAAGAACTAAAGAAGAAATTTAAGATGGCGGGGAAGCATAAATATTAGATTTCTCGAGTGGTTCAAAACCGTAGAAAAACTAAAATCCATTCCTCAGCTCTTATTGGATTTCATAAATGTATCATTTACTGGATTATAACAGATTCCATATTCAGGAGGCCATGGTGGCCAAGTAAAGCACCACCTGTTTTAGCATTCTCGAGTCTACTGGTGCTTATTTGAATATTTATTTCTGGGGGTAAGAGGATATTTATTTTTTGTGGCAGACTCTCATAATGAATCTTGACCTCTCCATTCTGGTTAGAATAGGTGAAGTTGAACCTCTAGAACTACCTCCCCCTCTCTTGTTAGATAGAAATGGCGATGTAGAGGGGAAATAAAAGAGAAAAAAAAGGTCGCACCTGCATGATTCATAAGTATGAACAATCTATAGTTTGACTCACAAACACTAGCGGATCCAGGATTTAATTTTGGGGGGGCTTCTGCCCGAAAGATTTTTTTTTCATATACATATAACGATAATTAATTTGAAAAAAAATAAAGAAATTAATTACCTATATGAAATGGTGTTTAAGTGGTTCTTGAAGTCCTATTAATTATAATTACACGAATAAGAATACTTTAAGAGATAGTTTTTAATATTTATTTCTGTAAAACATGGTTACATTTTACCATTTTGGGGGGGAGAGGGCTTCAGCTCGAAAGCCCCTCCTCCGTAGATCCGCCTGTGCTCACAAATAATTCTTTTTCTTTCATTTTTTCTATTAAAACCACCTCTATGACTGCTTCCAAAGTTATACTAGCTACAGCAGCTTCATTCACTGAAAAATTAATTTGATTCAGGTTTTTTCGGGATCAAATTGACTTTTGTCAGATGCATTTTGTTCTGAAGTTTCTCATACCTATAAAAGTAGCATATTCTTGCAAGGTCACATATCTTCAACTCAGTATTTAGACCTGGAGGGGGACGCCCGTCCCTTGTTGTTAGGAATAAAAAAGAAGGTAACAATTAATAATAATAATTAATTTTAGCCTTTCAATAAAGCAACTGACAGCTCAATCAAGAGATAAATTTCAAATACCTACTATAAAACAACATATGAAATGCATTTAAATTTTTTGAAACATAAAAAAGGAGTGAAAGATATGTAATGGGAGGGGAAAATAAGGATATCAATTGGTTGAAGATGATAAGAGAGCTCCGCATTTTTTGTGTATGCTACGATTATGAAAAAAATTTAATGAAGCAATATATATTATTATTTTTAAAAATATATATTTGTATTTTAGAAAACAAAATTTATAATAATATAGATTTTCTCATCATCATATTTCAGATTTCACAATATTTCATTAATACCTTAATCATGTTTGGAAAAAATGTCTGTGATCTGCCCCCTTGATATATTCAATTTTAGTCAAGTAGTTCCTTCCTTGACAGAGCCCCTCAATTCCTGTCTAGAGAAAATTTTGTGCACAAAGATTGGGTCTAGGTTCTTTAATCAGTAAACAGTCACTCTATTCCATGGGCCGTATATCTGGAGGCTTTGAAGCCCCTCTCCCTCCCCAATATGGTAAAATATAACCATGTTTTATGGAAAAATATATTAAAAAATTATCTCTTAAAGTATTATTGTTTGTGTAATTACATTTTAAAAGCTTAAGAAATCATTTAAACACCATGTCATATAGATAGTTAGTTTCTTTCTTTTTTCCCAATTTAATTATCGTAATTTTTATAAAAAAAAAAAAAGCTTTCAGACTGAAGTTCCCCAAAATTAAATCCTGGATCCATTAGTGCTCTATCCATTAGGTTACCTTACTTCTTTCTCTGTATTTTTGCAAATTTAAATAATGATTAGTTGTGAAAGTTAAAGGTTTATAAGTGCTCCTTGTTTGCTGGGTTAAAACATTAACGGGATGATTGATAAGGAGCTATAGATACTACAGTACTTGTCTGGTTTTTTGAAATCTTGAAGATCTTAAAACTTAGAATTTTAAAATGTTGGAATATGAAATTTTAATTAGTTTACAATAAATTAACAAAAAAAAATTCCCTTATACCTTTTAAGTTTTTATTTTTGTTTGTTTTTTTAGAAAGAATATGAAAAGGCGAGAAGTGACATATTGGAAAAAGATGATTTAATTCTGAAGGCAGGTGAAGCAATGTCGCTCATGAGCAAAAAACATGAAGAAGATTTATGCATTCTCCAGTCACGAGCCTCTGAAGAAATAGAAGCATATAAGCAAACTATATCTAAACTGGAACAGGTATTTATTTTTTCCAATTTAGATGATATTCTTGTTTGTGCAAGGTTTCATTTTATTAAAAACATCCCATTTTTTTCCACAGGAAATCTTGGAATTAAAAGAAAAATCCTTTTTTATGCCGAAGCCAGCAGTATTTGACGACTCGTCTGCTATGTACGCTATGGCTTTTAATATTGGTGGCAATGTTGCTAATAACCGAGAAACACATTCCCAAGAAAAAGTTTTAGAACTTGAAAGAAAGGTAATTTTAATTTTTATTCAATATATTCGTGGTTACTTTATTGACCAATATGTATATGTATTAAGATGTTTTATGGCAATTTTATATATAATTATATGTTTGTCATTGAGGAAACATATGTTTTGAGTAATATCTTACATGTTTCACATTATTCATTAAAAAATAATTGAAACATGTTCTGTTAAATTCAAATTTTTGGTTATAAATTTTCTTTTTCTTTTTTTGTATTTATTTATATTTATTTATTTTTTTTTTTTTAAGGTGTTTACAATATATTCAGATCATCAAAGGTATTACAGTATATCCCTTCATATTTTAAACTGTGATAAATTTTCATTGATAATCTATCAAAATAATTGTCATCTTTTAATGTCAATATTCCTGTTTAAATGTCTAAGCTTTGCTTGTTAATTACAGTTTTTGCTGATGTGATTTTATTCTCAAATGTAATGTAAACATCTTTCACTGTTTACAAAGAGTACAACAGTTATTTTACATTATAAAATATTTTTTAATTACCATGTGATTCAATTGTTTTCTTTTTAATTTTGATGCAATATTATTTAGGTTTTTTTTTAGCTTTTATTTATTTTTTAAAAGGGTTTACACATTCATATAATTATATGCAATTTAGATGAAGTAACAATCTTCTTCTAGCTTCTTTAAGAAAAGTATTTGTTGACTTACTAGAAATTAAGATTGGCTTAATTTTTCTTTAATAATTCTTAAGCCATTATTTATTTCTTCATTTGTCCTGTATTATTCTTAATTAATTGCTTCAAGAACATCGAAAGGATTAATTTTTATTATTTCCTTTAGTTGTTTTTTTAATCTAATTTCCTTAACCTTGAAGGATCAACAATGTCTTAAAAACAACCCCAATGTTTTTTTTTATTAAAAATCAGTGAACATTATGTTGCAAATTTCAATGTTAATGTATTATGTCAAGGAAGAGGTCTCAATGGCCAAAGGTGTTAAATCATTGCTCGTTCCAATATTCTCAAGTCTAGCAGTACATTGGTTCGAATTTGGCCTAGGGAGGTTGAAATTTATTTAAGATGGACCTACGGAATGAATCTTAACCTCATAACTCTGGTTAGAGTAGATTTGGTTTACCTCTAGAACACTCTCCTTCCCTATACCAGAAACGGTGTGGTAAGATTAACCAAAAGAAAAGAAATTTTTTGATTTTGAAATTTTCAGTTTTTATTGCAATTTTTGAGATTTAATTAGAAGTTTTGTATGAGGCATAAAACTTTTAAAATAAGGGTTTTAAGGCTACATAAAGCAATTAGTATAATCTTTTACTGCAGAAAAAGTCTTATTTAGTATTGAAAAAAAAACTAAAGTGTGTACTTTTAGACCACACCGTCAAAGTGAAAACATCAACAAGGCGTGATATGGAATATAAATTATAAATAATACCTCATTATAAAGGAAATGAAATGCTGAACATTTTCCTCGCTTTCACTATGAAAGTCTGACTTTTAGTGTCTGAGATATTTTAATCCATATGCAAAACTATGTCAATTAATCGACTACAGCCGACTTTTCCCGAACGTTACTCATCGGAAATCTGGCGGTTCAATCTAATTTACTCTCCATAAAAAAAGTGCAAAACACATTTAAAGAAGTTTTCACTTCAATAAAAAAAACTTTTCCATTCAACTATTTGTTTTAATATTTTGACATTTTATTAGTAGTAACACTATTGTTGTATTTTTTTATCTACATTGCTTGGTCTGCCCAATACAAAACTTATGTCAAAAAATAATTCTGTAGTTTTTATCAGACAATAATAATTTTATTTTCCTAGGTTATGGAATTAAAAGAAGAATTAAGGCTTAAAAATTTTGAAATAGAAAAACTAAGCGAAAAATCAGCCAATGTTGTTCTTGAGGCAGAGCAGTTGAGAAAAACCGAGGCTGAACTGAAGAAACGGTTGCAGTCTATGGATAAATTGTCTAGTACTGTCAACTCTAATCTGTCTTCCAATGAAAGCAAAATAACTCAATTTGAAAAAGAAAAAAAGGTATTTATCTCTTTTAAATAATTTTAGATAAAACATAGATTGAATATTGGTAAGCGCTTATTCTTGATTAAAATATTAAAACAAAGTGTTGTATACAATATACTAAGTATAAGTATACAATTCTTCAATTTATTCTAAATTAATTGATTTGAATTCTGAAATTAGAAAAAAATCTCTCTCATTTATGTATATTTTGTTTACACTAAATTTTCATCTTCATGGTTGCTTATTTTACTAGTAATCTGTTATACATTTTTTGTCTCTTATTATGTCAAATAATCAAATTGTAGGTTTTTCATTCTTCCTGAATAGAATTATAGGTTCTTTTCTACTTTAAAACACCAGTGATAAAAAATGATCTTGGGAAAGAGACTATAATAAGTATTAGTAATATATATATATATATATATATATATATATATATATATATATATATATATATATATATATATATATATATATATATGAAATGTGTATATAGTTATGAGCGTGTGGGGTTGTGTGTGTATATTTTTTTAATTGTAAATAAAATAATGTTCGATACTTTATAGATCTGGTTTCAATTTTAGTCACGCAATATTTAAATATTTCAATGTTGGCAGCGCCTCTCCCCCTTTGAAGGATTAGTCTCATTCAGTTGTGTTCTTTGACTAAATGTGCAAGTGGATGCATTGCTATAAGCGAATGAAAAATTAAATTACATGTAAAATAAGATTATCCCTTAAGATGCCTGAAGAGACCAAAATTTGGATAAATTTGAAATAAATTAATTATTATCGAGACTGAAAAGTCCTTTTTTTTACTAACACCAGTGATTTTTTTTTTTTCAATTTAATGATTTCATAGTTAAAAACAGTTCATTAAATGTGTGACCATGAAGTCAACCTAAACTAGGAAAGAATGAAATGTAACGTTATAAATATTAATTTATTAAACGTGATCTAACATAAATGCAATATTTATTCACTTTCCTAAAGGCGTGAAATTTTTAATACATCACAAAATTGTTTCAGAATAATCCGGCTCTTTACTACTTTAAACAAACACACCAGTGAATTTTTTTCACTTTAATGATTTCACAGTTTAGTCCAGACAATGAATGATTTATAGAAGGAAATGGTAGGGACACAATCTTTGACTTTGAGACATTGTTTAGAGAATTTGGAGAAAAAAATAATTTTTATAATATTCGTTATATATATATATATATATATTTTATTATTTTTTTTTTCCGCTGCTGTAGTAATTCTACAGAAGAAGTGTATATTTCTTAGATATGAGCATGCAAAAGCATATTATATGCAATACATTGTTATTTAAACTTTTTTTTATATAGAAATATAGCTTATTACAAAATTTGTTGGCTAAAGATACTTAAAAGGAATGGTACTTAAAATATATTACAAAGAGAAAATTAAGTAATGGATGATTAAATAAAGTAAATAACAGTATCAGATGAGTGAGCGGTACCAAAATGTACTGAAAAAAAAAGAGAAAATACAATAAATAAATTAATAAAAAAAATTTATATGATTAGGCAAAAACAAATACACACTCACACACACACACATATAGAAATAGAAATAGAAATAGAAAAATAACTTTATTCTGGGACACAGTCCCTTGAGAATAACAAATTAGAACAAAATTAAAATATTACATCTGGCCAAAACAAAATAAATCGAAAAAAAGAAATAATGTAAAAAAAATATAAGGTAAAAACTCTATATACAAAACAAACTAAACTATATACAAAACCATTAATACTATGACAAGAAACTTAAAGCTATTTAAACCAGTATACACTTTTCCGAAAAAAAAATAAAGAATTAAAAAATAAAAATATATCAAATTCTCTATTAAAATCCGCTCGAATGGTTAGCAAGTATCTGACTGTTTTTGTGCTAGGAATTGGAATAGGAGGGATTTGAATGTGGATATGGAGGGGGAATGTCAAATTTTGATAGGGAGGGAATTCCAGAAATTGACGGAGCGAACAATAAAGGAATTTTGGAATGAGGCAGATCTGTGAGAAGGCATGTAGAGGTCAGAAGGTCGAGATCTTGTGGACAGGGAATGGACTGAGGATTTGAACTGGAGAAGGTTGTAGGCGTAAGAAGGACGATGGTTGTTGATGATTTGGTAGAGGAACGTACCTAGAAAGTATTGTCTTCGGAAGGAGGGGTAGAGCCACCTCAACTCAGTGTAGTGGTGAGAGACATGGGAGTACCTCGGGGCACCAATAACAAATCTTACGCAGCTATTCATATATATATATATGTATGATTATCTACGTAGAGATTTAGGTGTATAGAGAGTTAGAACAATATAATAACGTGTATCATAAAAATTATTTTTTTCTGCAAATTCTCAGAATCGACAAATAAAGTTATAATTGATTTAACTTTCAAACTGTTGGAGATAAACTATTAAATTATATTATTAAAGTATATATTCTTAAAGAAAATTTAATTATTAAAACTTTCTTCTTCATGACTTAATCGTAGATTGAAGCAAGAGTTAACTAGTTAAATACAGTAAAAAACATGAGGTGAAAAATTATAAATGAAAAGATTTTGTTAGATGTGAGAGTTATGGGTTGAAATTTGTTGTTTTAATAATATTTCATTTTAATCATAATATATCATAAGAATATCCTCCCCTCAATCATACACTGGTTTTTCTTCCGAAACAAACCCCAATAAACTTTTTTCGTTACAAAACGGGTCTTGAAGTTTATTTCTTTTCATAAGGAAACCCTATCCAAGTTTCTATGTTTTTTAATTATTACTGGGATAATCAGTAATTTTCGGATATATGCCCCACAAATAAAGGATTTCTAAATTTATTTATTAAAAAAATCTTAGTTTTGATATTATTATTATAATTGCATTTGAAAATATAATTTTTCACATTTTTTGAATAATAATTAATAATGATTCGGGTTCACTTTGGAAATAAACAACTCATATTTATCACACTAAAGGAACAATATTCTGATGTCATAAAAGGAAAATTCATGTTACTACTAAAGTGATTTCATTTTCTGAAGTGTTAATTAATGAATTTTTGCAATAAACCAATCATATATTTAATGACATACCCATTAGTCATTGTATCATTCCTGTATTCTCATTAGACTTATACTTAGTGTCAAAATGTTGGACACACTTCAATAATTGTTATCCCTACCCTCTCATCTTTTCAAATTACCCGTAAAACAGTATGTAAATAATCTATCACTCACCTGAAGTTAATAGTAGCCTGCTTGTATTTTGGCTCTTAAGCTAAAAATAAATACATTTTTTTTATTTTTAAAATTAATATACACGTTCCCTGGTAAAAATAAATAAAACTCATCGTAATGCTTCGTGACCTTTCCGCCACCGTTTATTAATTTGAAAATTCTGTTTGGTAATGAATCGTACGATTCATGAGGTAATTGTTCCCATGAAACCAGAATTGCATATTTCAAATCCTTGATTGTTCCGAACTGTCCTGACTCGGAGTACACCCTTCTTGAAAGAGCTCTCCAAACAATTTCGATAATGTTCAGGTCTGGGAAGACAGCAGGCTAGTCTAATTTGTCAATTTCGTTGCGAGTAAACCAGTCTTTAATCATTTTTGCTGAATGTATCAGGGCGTTATCTTGCTGGAAAACTGGCAAATGTAAACTGGTGTGCTGTGTGCCTTCAGACATGTCATTAGAAGTCAACTTTTGTTCCTCTAACAAATTTTCATATTCAGCTGAGTTAATGAAACAAATACCAAATTTCCTTTATTTTTGTAACCAAATGATGCCCAAACCATAACTTTTTCTCCTTCTATTTGACACATTGATAAAAATTGTTCTTCTTTTCTTAAGACATGAAAGTAATACAAAACTTCATCTTGCCCATCCAGATTTTTTTTTTTCATCACTAAAGATGACTTTCTTCCACTCTTCAGTCCATGACATCATATTACGAGCGAAAGACATCTTCTAATTTGTGATGGGTACTCAAAATTGGCTTTCTTTTAAATTTTTTTCTAACTATTGTATTTGACTTTTTTAATAATCTTTGGACATTTCTTAGTTTTGTTCGAACTCCAGCTTCCTCAGCAGTTGTTCTTGCTGTTTTACAAGAGTTAGATGCAATTTGAAGAATATTCCGTTTTTCTCGTAATGTCAAAGCAGTGGGTCTCCCAGTAGAATGGTGGAACCATCCCGGTAGAACCATTTAAAGATAACTTTGGAGCGGCTAAACTAAGCTAAGTCTGTTTTTAAAAATATTATAAATTATTTTCATTTTTTTTTTATCGTCCTATATCTAGACTACAAATAAAAGTGGGATTTTAGGAAAACTAAACTTCAACTTAGCTAATACGGATTTAAACAGTATTGTAATAAGAAAGTTTTTCTAAAAGTGGAGTATCTGTAGTTTAGTTGGATAATGATAAAAAAAAAAAAATCACGAATAATTTATGATTTTTTAAAAACAGAACTTAGCTTAGATTAGCTGCTCAAAAGTCCTCTTTAAATCATTTGATGTAGTTCACAGTGCAGCAATTATTAATTACTTAAATTATTGTAATTACTTTAGGTATTGCTTCCAATTCAACAAAAAACACGACCTTCTTAAAAAACCAGAAATCTTAGATTTCATACTTTTCTGCTGTAAATTGGCCTATTGTTAATATGAACTTTTTTATAGCGCTTAAAGTCTGCAATGACTCCTTTAAAAATTTCCCTCTACTTTCAGGACATCCTGTATATTTATATTTGAAAAATATTGGTTTAAAAGCAGCCATAAGTGACTATTACGAATAATTTTAATGTATGTGACCCTCAATTAAGCTAACTAAAATTAAATAATTATTTAATTAAAGGCTTTAAATTGTGACAAAATAATTTTGATGGATATAAAATATATGAGTAATTATAGTTATGGATGGCAAATAGAAAAAATGAAATTATATATGTTATATACATGCATTATAAATATACTAATTGATTATAATGATAGTTAATATAGTGTTTTCCTGGAGATGGGAAAATAATTCTGAAACATTAAAAATTGAAGATAAAATAAAAGAAAGTGTTGTTAATGTTTCAAAATTTATTACTAAACTGATAGTGATAATTCATTTGCTAATAAAATTCTCCTTTCTTCTCTCCCCTCCCTCCCAAAAAAAAGTAAATTATAATAGAATTATTTTTTCATTTGTTCAGTTTTATTTTTGTGAGTGATCTGATCCAAATACTCAATCATAATATGTACTGTTTCTAAATGTAAGCACATGTCAGGAAAAAAACTTAATTCCATTATAACATTATTGTTTCTACAATTATCTTCTTTTTTTTTAATAGGCCTTCAATGGCCACTTAAACATCATTTGGTGTAGTTTCTTTCATTTTCTTCCTGAGTGATTACTAAAAATTTAAAAAAAAAAATTAAATTAAATTTAAAAAAAAAAATCTTCAACATTAAATCCGAATATGCTTCTGAAGAAGACTATTAAAGTTTCTAAACAATCTGTGATTCTGATTCTGTTATTCTAATTAAATATTTAAATAAAATAATTTGCCTCTTCTTACCTGTAGTATTTATTATTTAAAGAACTAATATGTTTAAGTAAGAAATAAATAAATGAATCAATTTTGGATTTTTAAAATTTAATTTTGCTTTTACCGTTATGATTTGCTTTATCACTTACATAAAATTATTTACTGTTTCATATAGCCTAATCTGTCCATTAAATTATTAATATTAATTAAAAAATAAATTTGTTATCATTTTTAAATTTTATGCTATTATTATTATTATTACTATAATTACTTTTTATTATTTTTAAAGTATTATCATGAGTTGATATTGAATTTTAAAGGAGTCCTTTGCCTATGTTTTAACCCTAAAATAGCCCTGGAGTTTAGTGCCAAAGAGACAAGTTCCAGGGCTAACTATAGCTTGGTGAATGGTCTGGAAGCTGTAGGAGGCGCCCCCACATTTCTCTACCTGCTCATTCTCTTTGCCTTGTCAAATAGGTAGCTGTTTGTCTTTTGAGAAAATTGTTTGTAAGCTTATCTCATTTATTTGTCTCCTTTATTCTGGTGATGTAACTTCGTGTAAACAATCGTACGTTAGCATGACAATAGGTTTTTTGTCACAGTTTTTTAGCTAAGAAAACATTCTTAGGTTGAAATTGAAAGTGCATTCGGCATAAGATGTCTGTAAGTAACATAATTGTTATTTTTCCAATATTGGCTTTTGGTTATTTTTTTTTTTTTTTTTTTTTTATGGATGGAGGTTAGCCAGATTTGGTTGTCCCATTAATATTTAGTGATTGTTTATCCTTTACAGAGTTTTGGATTGATAGTTAATGTATTTAATAAATTACTTTTATCTATTTCTATTTTTTATCAATTTTTATTCACTATTTTCGTATTTTAAAACTAAGTATAAAACAGTAAATAATTATGGTCTATTTCAACATTTTTAATTATTAACTTTAGTGATATTTCTAATGGGAAAATGTATACCTTTATTCACAGTTCTATACTTCAACACTGCAATCGCCTACTCTGGAATCAACTTATTCAATGTCTGTACAGATATTATAAATTTTCCAACTAGAATTATCACTTAAATGACTTTACTCAAAAATGTTGAAATTGTTCTGTCAACTGAAAGGCTCATCTAATTGTGGCCTAAAATATTTATTTTTGTTTTGATTTTGTTCATTTAGCATGTAAGGAAAGAAGTATAGTTTACCATAAATTCAATTTTTTTTTCTATCAGTCATAATTTGATACTTTTATAATAGTCAAGTTATAAATTTAAAAATATTTATATGAATAAATTTAAAAAATGGACATTCTTTATTATTTATTTTGATTTTCTGTATTAGTACATTACCCTTTAGCTAATCTATTCCTTTAAGATTTCTTGTATACAAATTTTAATTTGATTTACGCATTACCTCAACTATTATTTATTGTTTTTATAATTTATTTCTTGTTTGTTGTATGCCTCTTGTAGCTTATAATTTAAATTTAATATCTTAAGGCTGAAAGAAAAAGGTTAATTATCGTATTACAATATCAGTAAAACATATTATCGTTAAGAAATTATGTTTTTGTTTTAAAAAATAAACAAATAAATCTATTTTTTGTTATAAACAAAATTAAATGTTAATCTTTCATCATCTTACAAACTAAAATTATATGTAATTCTATTTATTTTCAAGTTTATTTATTATCAGCCAATTTTACACCATTTTTTAAATTTTGTCAACTTCATGATTACACATCACAATTACGACGTTTCGGCTCGTCGAGCCATTTTCAAGTCTAAAAAAAATTTTAATTTACAATCATATGTTAACTTTACATATTTCAAAATATAAAGATTCTTTTTATATACCTAAAATACCCATCATGTACCTGTCCTTTTCCTTTATGCGAATTGTATGCGTCTACTCATGAACAAGGTAATTTTTAACTTATTTCAATGATTTAATAAGAAAAAACTGAGTAATAATAATGTTGTAAAATAATTAAAGGTGGAAATGACACGAATAATAAATTTTATTATGAGTAGACGCATGCAATTCGCATAAAGGAAAAGGACATGTACATAATGGGTATTTTAGGTATATAAAAAGAATCTTTATATTTTGAAATATTTAAAGTTAATATATGATTGTAAATTTTAAAAAATCTTTTAGACTTGAAAATGGCTCGACGAGCTGAATCGTCGTAATTGTGATGTGTAATCATTAAGTTGAAAAAATTTAAAAATTGGTGTAAAATTGGCTGATAATAAATAAACTTGAAATAAATAGTATGCACCGAAGAAGAAGTGAGAAATATTGTGAATATTTTTATTTAGTGATAAGTGTGACTGAATTATTTTTCTGGATTAACCATACTATTTCTAAATTAAAATTTTGTAGTATATTACTTATTAGTACTTTTGAATTAATGAATTATTATATCACAAAAATTGGACTGCAGTTGGTAAATATTACGAAGTTGAGCAGGATCATCAAGCATTAATAAATATTTAAAGATTCATTGATATATTCTAGCCGAAAATAATGTTTCATCTTATCCCATATTTAATATATTCAGTAGAAAAAAACTTTATTTTAGTCACTATCTCTGGCTTATGGGAAAGGGCTTATCATAAAAGTAACGAACCTCTTCTAGCCAGAGGGATAAGGACGAGATTTAATGTGTCCCGCAACAAAATAAATTTCAACTCGTCCAAGCTGAGGCCGTGATAGCCAAGAGTGTCAAGTTGTCATTTATTTTGTGCCAGAATAATGAATCTTTACCTTCCTCTTTTGCTTATAATAGTCTGGTTGTTCCTAAAGAATAACCCACTCTGTTTGCAAACCCATGCTAGATTTGAACAGATGCCACTAAACTAAGGTTATGACGCCTTAACACTCATCCATTAAGGCCTCGAAATATAAAAAACGTTATTAGTATATTTTGAAAAATAACATTCAGAAGCCAGAATCAGAGAAGAGTGTCAGAACAAAAGGTCTTTTTTAATTTTTTTTTTTTGTTTTTATAAAAATCTTTATAATGATATATTATTGAAATAAAATTATTAACTTTTAGATCCAGCAGTCGAAACCAGATGAAGAGAACAGGTATCGCAACATTGTCTTCAGAACTTACAAAAAAGAGGAGACTGACTCGAGAAAGAATGATATTGTCATAGAATTAGAAACAACCAAAGCTGAACTGGAAGAGCTTAAAAAAGAAAAAACAACTATGCTGAAAGGGATGCAAGCGCTATTAGTGCAAAATAATAAATTGACCAGAGATATTGAACGTTTAAAAAACAGACCAGACGAAAGAGGCAATCTGAGTTCCGAGGAAAGAGGAGAGGTAAATGCAAGGACTTTGGGTCACATCACGACAAGATATGTCTTTAGGGACAGTTGATGCATTTTCATTTATTAATGTTGCACGTTTTGTTTATTTAGAATGTTTTTCCACTCTAAAATAGTGCACAGAAATTATTATAAGTTGTTTGTACATATTTTTTTTTCATTTTGCTATGTTTGATTTTCTATTTATAGTGAATCTTTTGGTTATATATATGTATATATTATTCTTCATTTTTAAACCTGTGTTAAAAAAAAAAAAAGTTATAATAAAAACTTTAAGGATAAAAGTTTTTCACTCATTATTAGTATTGTCTTTTTTTTTTTAATCTTATTTAAGGGCTTAAAAAGAGCTCTAAATTTTTCTAACCTTCCATTTTGTTTTAAGCTTTTCGCTTAATCATTAGAAACATTAATAATTATTGTTAAATTAATATTCTTAATCAGGTTATAATGTCAACACATATATTATATTCAAAAGACAAATAAATTTTAAAATTGATTAATAGTGATAACTTAATTTTTGTTTGTTAAGAACTCCATGTGCCCCAGTTCATATATGCATGCATTGCTATTTTTAAAATCTTTTTAAATTAATATTAAATAAAAATGACTTGAGTGGTGTGTGAAATTGAATTAGTTTTTAATTATCTATTCGCATTAGTTTGCTATTTTTTTTTAATTAACTAATAGAATTCAAAGTTTATTTCTTCCATGGATACGATTGCTCTTTAATTGTTTAATTACCCGTGCAGATAATTTGCATAAAATATAGGTCAGTGAACAAATGACAAAATAATATTAAAATATGTTAATGTAATGTATTATGAGATAGAGAGAATAATTTTCTTATTCTGAGTTGAATAACATTAGTTCATTCAAAATAATAATTTTCTTGTTTTTGTGGAGAATTTAGTAAATTTTCAAATAATCATGAAAAAATGTGTACTTTTTAAGCTATTTCTAAATTAAGTTTTTTTTTTATTCATAACTTCTTTTCCTGAAATTTCGGCTGGATTTCAGTACGATTCGTCACTGCTCCATTTAATACCCTTTTATTTGATATACATACCTCATTCATTAAAATCCATCGCTCATGAGAGCCTCAAAAAGAATTGTCATGGCGAAAAACTATCCTATGGACTTATATTCCTGTGGTTGGTTAACTAAATATTATTTTTAAAATCAAATATCGTAGCTTGAGCTTAAACTTACAAGATGTCTTTAAGATTATGTATTGATATATGTTCATATTTATTATTATGATATAAAAATCATCATATTATTCGTTTTCGTTTTTATATGTATCTCACTGATCAAGCAATGATATGTTATATTTTTTGATAAACTTTTTTGGAAGTAAACTCAAGAGAAAATTACATATCTTAGATGAACTTTTCAGTATACTAACTTTTAGTTAAATTCAAAATCTACTAGTTTATTTCTTAAAAATATAAGCTTATTAATAAATGAATTATCTTTTATTGAAATGTTTATCAGATGAACATTTGTTTTAATTTTACTCTATAGTGATATATATGTTTTTTAATGATTATTGTAAATAGTATACTAATCATTTTTAGCTTTACTTGCTTGCACTAAAACTGCTTTAAAAACTACATTTTTATTTTTTATTTTTATGGTTAATTATCACTATTTAAAATATTTCTGATATTTCACAAAACATTTCTATTACTTACAAGGGAAGGTTACAGACGTCGTGTCACTGATTTCAATGAAACTTTTTTTGGTGATACTAGGTGGAAAAATATTAGACCCATGTTTGAGGGTTCTTAGCAGAAAATATAGTATTTTATCGTGCTTCAAACCGAAAAAAAGAATAAAGCATGAATTGTACATATTACACCATGAAATATATTGGTTTTTGATAAAAAAAAGATAATATTAATTTTTAGCACCCCTAAAATCACGTAATAAAAATTAGTAGATATTTTTTTCCTTTTTGTTAATCTTTTTATTGAGGTATAATATTAAAATACTAAATATTAAGCAAATTTTCATCGCAATCGAAAAATAAATTTATTTTGCTTTACTAATATCTACTATAAACATTTATGGATCTCATAAGAGCTATTAATATAAGGCAGAATATTGAGCAAAAAATTTATATTTTTCGATTGCAATGAAATTTCATACTTAAGGCTTTTTTTATTCTTTCCGAAATCACAGAAGTCGTGATAACACTTATTCACATGGAAATAAGCACAAATTTGAGGGCCAATAATATACACGACATAGCACAAACCAGAATCCCGCAAATAAATCAGACTTGGAGATAAAAAATAAAAATATTTAGGAAGTTTTCATTTATTTATTTCTTAGAAAAACGTGAAATATCAAAGTTATCAACATAGTTTTGAATAGTAATAATTTAGCTTTCCAATGGTGGTAGTAACGTTGAAGTATGAGAAAAACCTGAGGAGGTATAAATATTTTTTAGTAAACTGCATGAAAAAAATCCTCTTAAAATTACGTCCAAAAATTTATATTTTTTTATTTCAAAACAAACTTGTATTTAAGAGCTTTAGTGGACCCTAAAAACGTATCTGAATCGGTTTTTTTATGACAATAATTTACTTGGCCTACTTTACAAGGAGCGTCTATAAGTTGTTGTAATTTATTTTACCTTAAAATTCTTTTGTACAATTAGCAATGTGTTTTTCTTATTTTACACAAAAAAACAAATCGATTGATATATAACAACTTATAAATCCATGCAGAGCAAAATTAGAAAACAGTAGTACCATAAAAAAACAATACAATTTTATACATTTTTTTTTTGGCTCCTAGGACGCATTGGCAGGAACCCTCGGACATGGGTCTAATATTTTTCGACCTAGTATCACCAAAAAAAAGTTTCATTGAAATCGGTGACTCCACCTCTTCACACTTCCTCTTGTTAGTTGGTTTTATACTGTGGATATTTTACTTGGAATGTTTTATGATTCATTCTTATCATTTAAAATTTTTATTTTGCTCTGTATTATATTGTGAAGTGATCAGAAGGATGATTGTGTACAAAGTACTGAGTAAAAAATTTTCATCAGTGACTAATTTTAGCCAAGTTAAGAGATTTTTTATTTCCAAAATATTATTTTATCATGAAGTAATTTTTTTTATCAGTAACATTTATTATTTTAATAACAAATATGAAACATTTTGTATATTTTTTCCAACTTGAATATCTATCAAGTTGACTAGATGTTATTTAATTTGATTTTAAAAAGTTGTTACTTTCAATCTCTTTTCTCTGTGTAAAAAGGATAATTAAATTAAAAATTTTTTTTTAATTTCAAGTTTATTTAGTTTAAAGAAGTTTTTTTTGCGCTCTACTCCTCTATTCTTTTACTATTTTTCCTATTACGTGAAATGAATTACAGAAAGTTATTTTTATTTAGTTCATAAAACACTTTATAATTCAATTTTTATGAAGAAAAGTTAATTTTTTTTTCAATTTTATCTAGATTAAAAATTTATTTTTGTTGAGAAAAGTACTCAGTGGTATGAAACGGGAATCTGCACTAAGTATAATTTAAAAAATATTAAAATAAGTAAAGTTTATAAAGTTATTGATTTTTTTCTCATATAACTCAATATATATTAATGTTGATTTATAGAAACTTTTAGGTTGCTGGATGTGACAATATGTGAATGTATTACACATGTTAAAATTATTTTATTTTCTCTTTTAATGTGTTAAGGAATGTGTAGAGGTTATCTTTTTATTAGAATAATTTATATTTACAATTAAGGATTATTACAAAATTTTATTGTATACGCTCGCTTTTACCTAACTTCATTTATTTAGTTTCATTTATTCAAGCTTGAATAATTTGATATATGTTAATCCTCTATATTTGTAAGTAAAAATGGTTTCTTTTACATTTTTTTTTTTCTATAATGGGTTGCTTTGGATCCTTTATTTCCGCTATTTGTCATTTTCAAGAATTTTTTCAATATTATTACTACTTCAATAATATTATAATTAATGTTAAGGCTATTTGTTATATTAAACTTACTAGATAATTTTTTAAAAAAATAATAATAAATCAATTTTCAAATAATGCAATTTTTATGTTTTGTCCCCCATTTCAATGGGCACCATTTTGAAATGCCCTTGCTTTAAATTGGCGAACTAGTGGAAGTTTAATGCTTAGGATAGACATTACAATGGTGTATGATTAAAAGTTTTTTTTTTTTTTAAGTCACAAAATATTGATCCAGCTCTTTCAATTTCAATATCAAATTAACTGACTCTTCTTTGTTTATGAATGTAGTTTTATTTTTTGAGGTATTTAATGTTGGTACATTTGATCTGTTAAACTTGAGTCTTGGCTATGTTTGAGGGGATTAGTTATACTGATCAACAATATCACCACTGAAAGTTTTCCTCCTTTATTAATTAATTAGGAGTACCCACTTTATAGAGGTTGGGTATACCCCAGGAGGGTTCCCCGTCCGCAGGGTCGATCCACAACCGAGCTTTAGAAGTCAGTGCTCTACCCTCTTGAGTTACCCCACTCCCGTAAGTATTTATTTTTCGATCGTTGCTGATAGAAATAAAAAATGATGGTTCTTACTCAGTTTGTATTTAAATAATTGTTAGTTATAATATTAATAAATTTCAGAACATGCTTGAAAATGATAATTAGCGGAAACAGATTTATAAATTTAAATTTTTGAAACTCATTAAACGGATCCTAAATAACAAGAATAAAAATTTACATTATTAAAGAAAAACACACTGATTTCATTTGTGGCTGGAACAATTTGCTATGGCAAAACTTTTTTTTTTTAGAAAAAGTTGTATAATTAAGATATTAAATCTGTTAACTGATTTTTGTTTTAAGTATAACAAAACAATGTACATACATCAATCCAATAAACAACGATTATAGTAAACAGATGTGGACAGTTAAATGAACTGAGACGAAACTTTTAGATCATTGGGAATCTATTATGAAACCATACCTATTGTACCTGGAGCATCATAAGCTGTATTTTCTGATATATTTAACTGAATTGAGGAGAAAAATTTAATATTTTGTTGTTACATTTAATTAAGTTGTATAAATTTTATTATTAAAGTATAAAAACTGAATTAAACATACAGATATGCATAAAATTAAAATTATTTGTTCAATTTCAGTATTTTTCATACATATCTTTCTTTATTATATTAAGTTAAATGATTCTGTCTATTGTATAAACAACCCATGGTACCTTTTTATTGGTATAATCAAACTCATATTATATATGCAACAAAACAATACATGACCCTTTTACATATCACTATTTACTTACATTTATGCATTAACTATCTCTTAAGGTATTCATTCTTACACTGTAAATTCTTCTCTACGGAGAATTCAGTTGGAATGGGGAGGATAAACAGTGACACTCATAATATGTGGAAATTATATTTATTGGTTACTTACGTACAGAGATATATAGTAATGTCGGAGGAAGAGAAATATCTGATTATATAAGAAGTATAATATAATATTATAATTACATAATTATGTGTGTGACTTTTGGCCACAACCATCCAGATTAACTTCTTCATAAATTAGTGCTTTGGTCATTGATTTTCCATAACATTGTGAAATCTTTTTATTTTATATATACTTTTTGTTTCATTTTTAAAACTATATTCTTTTGTTTTCTTAGTACGAAGGCATTTCTTTAGCACACAGATTTGACGAGAAGTCAAAATCAGACAGCGAAATGCCTGAAATGGAAGATCCTGAAAAAAGTTATCTTTATTCAGCTTTAGAGGATAAGCGTCAACAGGTAATTTTTTTTATAATTAACCTATAATAACTTGAAATATATTACTCTTAAAGTAAGAATGATAAAAGAATTATAATTCTGTCTGATTAATTAATTAATATTAATTTCAAAACGGTATATCAATGTTAAATACTTTTTTTATTCAAGAGAAAATTTTAAACAATAATTCATTAAATTTCCATATAACAACGTTTTGGATTCTTTTGTTAATTTTTAAAATATTCCTGTAAATATATAAAAATAACCATTATCATTCATCAACACATACAAATTTAAATTAACTAATCAAGGGCTTGAAATTAAAATCTAACATTTCAATATAACTGGAACATTTATTTTTAATTTCACTTACCTATATATGTAATAAACGGTAAGGGTAAGTATTGCGATAATGAAAATTTTCGAATCTGAGTTTTCAACGGAAACACATGTTTTGAGGTCGGCCATGAGTCAGAATAACCAAGTCCCACAAAATGGTGTGTGTGCGTGTGTGTGTTTCTATGAAAGTTTGTTCTTCATTCATCATAACTTTTTTTAGCTACTTAAACAATTTTATATTAAACAAAGCACTCTTTTGTAAAACTTTTATTACGAAAATTCGATTGGAGCTGTTAAAATAGAACTTTTTTATAATATTTCAATCCCTGCTTATATATAACTAAATAACTACCCTTAAAAACAATGAGAAAAGACCGAACATACATATATTTTTTAACGTGGGTGTTATGTAGAACACCCGACTAATTTCCTTCAATAATATTTTTTTTAACAAATCATTCTTATTAATTATTTTTGTTATTTCATTTTTTATTCAAGGTTGAACAATTGAATGAAAAATTACGTAAAAGAACTATTGACCTTCAGGAACTTGTAAATAAAGAGCTTTGGTCAAAGAATAAAGAAATTGAAAAGTTAAATAGGGTTTGTGAAAAGCAAGTCCGTGATTGGTCTGAGCAAAGGACGAAATTGAAAAGCCAGGAAGCAGAAATCAAAGCCTTACGAGAAGAGATCGAAAGGTTGCGGCATGAATTAAATACTCGAATAAATATTGCTTCAGTCACTCAAATCATACCTGGAAGGTACTATTTGTATTTACAGTTATAAAGTTTTGTTATTATATACATAGAAGTAGTTTTTTTTTTAATGTAAATAAATCAATTTTAGTATATCGTCTAGTTATACATCTGATTATATGACTATTGATTAATAGTTATCTCGTTACTTTTTGAGATTATTTTTCTATTTTTTTTTTTTTTTTTTTAGGGAGTCAGAAAAACCTCAAGACAATCATATCAATGTACAATTGAAAAAATTGAAGGAAGAATTAGAAAAACAAATTGCTTACAACGCAGAACTAAATACCCGTTGTGAGGACTTGAGGGTTTGTGCCGAAAACTCAGAAAAATCTCGAAAAGATCTTTCAAATGCTTGCTGTTTGCTGACTACTCGCTTGGAAGAATTATCATCGTTCCTTGAGTCATTGTTGCCATCTCTTGCTGGACGAAAAAGACGTCTGGTCAAAGAAGCAATAGACAGGTCTAGGGAAATGTCTAAGTCGTTATCATTATCGTGTCTTGAAGAATCGAGCATATTATGTAAATCTATAGAACCCATACTTCCAGACGTTTCGCAAGTCGATTTCAACAGTGAAGAGGATTTGGACGATACACTTTTGCATTCTAATGTGACAACTCTTGAAGAAAAAAATAATGAAGTAAGTTTAAACTGTTTCTACTTAAATATTATTCTACTTTATGAGTCCTATAAGATTATTTGTTGTCTCTGAAAGCATTCATAAAAATTAAATAGAAGTATAATAACGTGTTGTTTCCTCTGCACCTCCCTCTTCCTCTCGGAGTGTTGCGCCTTCTTCTCTGACCACTTATTTCCACCACTCCTCCTTTCTGTCCTTTTCTTTTATCTCCAGTTTAACTTTTTCTTCCTTAATCTGTTCCAGATACCCCTTTTATTCTTCAGACCTAACACTTTATCAAAAATTTGTTTATCCAGTCTATTTTTGTCCATCCTGTTTATATGTCTTCTACTGGTTACCTTCTGTTTGCCCAAGCACATGGCTCTCCCTTCCACCTGTTTTTCTCCGCCTCATTGTCCATTTCTTGGAAGTAGTTCTGATGAGGTCACTGTTTTCTTTGCACCACTATTTAAACCCAATCTTGACTAATTATATAAAAATATTAATTATTGCTACCCTATTACATTACAATATATATTTTCTTTGTCGCAAATCTATCTACATTTTGCTTCCCTAATTCTTATTCTTTCCATTGTTATTTACCTACCCATTCCTCTAAATACTTAGATTGTTTTAATGTTTTTATTTCTCCATATTTTGTTTTAATTATTTTTCCTATCATTTCATCATTTGTCATTATTTTGGTCTCCATGAACCAGATCTTTAACCAACCCCACTTTGATTCTTTTATTTGTTCTATTGTTGCTCATTCTCTTACTCCTAAGACATTTTATTCGTTAAATAGAGATTTTTTATAGGGAGAGGATCAACTGCATCTGAAGAAGCAATGGTAGAAAGATTTGTACATGACGTATTTGTAGATAGCGATTGTATTTCTATTTATGAGAAACATTATGCTGTCTATCATGTAAAATTGTATCTCATATTTGCTTTAGTTATTTATTAATAAAAAAAAATTACATTACTCGAATATATTTTTAGGTATTGAAGTTGAGAAATCAGATGGACAACTTGGTACAAATGTTGAAAGAAAATTCTCCTGAGAGTAAGCGGAAATCTGTGAGGCCGCAGGTCAGTCCTTGGTCACTCTCAGGATCTCTACAAGAAGAGCGACCCTTTAGCCCGCAGCCGTTCGAAGAGTCTAGTTTGTTTAGAGATTGTGTTCCTGGTTTAGTTCTCGAAGACATCACTGAAGGAACCGGAATCGAGTCTTTTGATACCGACACAGAGACCAAAAGTTAGCTTAACTTTATTTTTAAGACAGTATATATTGTATTACTTGTTTATATTATGTTATTTTTTTAAGATTGACCTTCCATTCTCTCTTTGGTTCTTGAACTATTTAGACCTTGTGTTGTTTTTTATTTTTTTTATAGTCAGCCTCGTGATTTTAATATTTTTCATAAATTATACAGATTTAGCAGAAGTAAAGAAAGTTGGTCCGTTAGCTTATGGTCATGGTTCAGAATCGGAAGGATGGTCAGAACCTGATAGGACTGTTTCACTTGCAAGGATAGGACTCAAGGAGAATATAGGGGATGCAGCAAGCGACTCTTCAGAATCTGTAGCCAAGTCTAATAATTCTTCTGGTTTGTTATCTTTTAAATTGGCTTTCTTTATTTTTTTAATTAGTTATTCTTTATATGGAATGAATATTACTGACTTTAATTATTCATATCAAATTTATAATTATGACCAAGATATCAACTTTACTCTTCATTAAAGTTCTGATTTAAAGTAGAACTTGAAATATTTTAAAATCTCTAAACAAGAAAAATGAGTTGAAATACTAATTATTTTATTAAATTGTATATAAATTGTGTAATATTTTTCATATCAAGGTTCTAAAAACATTCAATACTATATGAGAATGTTGTATATGCTTGTCTCTTTTCCCAATACTCTCAGACTGCTTTGTTGCCAGCAGAGGCCTCATTGATTTTCCTTTTTTTTCTTTTTCTTTTTTTCCTTTTAGCAGATTAGACCTTAATTAATTATTGCAATGTTCTTACTAAATCTTTTCATCCATTTACTTAAGTAATCTGTCATGAAAATTCAACAGATTTTTTCTCCTATATCTTGCCTTTTCAGTTATAGGGGAGAGGACAGTGGGTTAGTGCCAATGTTAAAAACCCATGGCTTCAGGACTCAGACTCGTAATCTTCAGTTTATCAGATAGCCAAGCAATCATATAGCAAAGCATGTTTTGTAGACGCGTTAATTCACTCGGCTCCATTTTAACAGAATCTATTCATGTAACATACAATATCGTTTTATGTCCCTTCTCTCACCCAATTTTAAAAACTATCAACCGTTGCTTCTCAAACCCAAAGTTATATTAATCTAATTTAACAAAACATTCTGATACGAAAAAAAATTATAATTTACTCAGATAAAGACTAATACAGTGCTACAGGCCTAGTAGCTGTTAGTTTCTGAAAGTTATAGGTTGGTTGTTTAGTGGAGATCATTCAAGAGGGATTCTTTATTACGGAGAGAACAAAGAATATACATATGTTTTTTCACTTTTATTTAAACTAATAACAGGAAATTTTCAATAAAATAAAAACTGTTTAATCCATTAGAAATTTTTATCCTTTATTTCATCTTGTAGGTCAGGAAGGAATAAATTTATGGAAGGATTATATTAAATAATGTCAAATATGTTTATAGTTTCTAACTATATTATAAATTACTAAACTCTATTTATTTATTTTTAATTGATATATTATTCGATGATTACTGTTACAGTAGGCCAAAATTATTCTTAGCTGATTGGACTAAAAATACTAAATCAATAAATATAGTTTAATTTTCTTAAATTTTATCAAATAATAAAATTATTTAACATCTTAAATAATGTCAAGAAAAAACACTTCAGTTTCAGGAAATATTTGTTCATAAAAAAACATTATGAATGAAAAGTCAAGTAGATAAAAGTAATATTTTTGAAAAGAAGCAAAAAATTATGTATTTTTAATATGTCCTTTTTCAGAACTTGAAACCAGTTAATTATTACCTTCATCCACATATATCTTGTTATATTTATCTCATAAGTTTTGTTAAATTTACTCATTATATTGAATAAATTTAACAGTAAACTATTTATGCAATCCAAGATTTTGTTAAATAATTATGATGTACTTTTTGCTTTAATAAACACAGATATAGCAAAGCATCAATTATCCAAAGTAATATTTTGTGAGATGTCGAGTAAAATATGGACAGTTTTCTGTAATATAATTTTCTAGATTGACAAAAATTAGTTGATTTATTAAAATTAAATCTAGTAAACACTAACCCGAATGATTAGTTAGTATTTTTCCGATTTTAATTCTTAATTTAATTTTTTTTTTTTTAAGAAAATTTTTATTTTGTTATGTAAAAATAAATACATTTATTTATCCAAATCATATGGGTCATGTGTTATGAATTATCCTATACTTTGATTACTAATGATTTAATTATAGTGTTTACTAATTTTTTTTTTAAATTTTCACTATATTATGTCATAATCACTACAGTAATTTATCGACTATGACAGCCTCAAAAACTATGCACTCGATATATTCAACAAGTTAGGAGAAGATTGGGATCATTAAAAATATGGAACAATAAGTTCACATATCATTTATACAAGTAATTTTATTTTTCATTAGAAAAATTTCATTTTTTTGATGTATTTTCTGTTTTTATTTATTAACCATTTACTTCTCTGTCAATGAAATGTGATTCCTAACTTGTAAAAGAACTTATGTTCTCTCTAATGCTTGTAATTAATATTAATGTAATTATAAAATATCTTGTTTATCACACCTCGATGAAGAGTTGAACATTGCCATAACTATCCCTTTAAATTTGGGAATATTTTTTAAGCTTTCTTAGTTGATTGAAAATCTTTTTTGCATGAAAGTCAAATACACCTTTCATGGTTGTCCATGACCCATTTGCAGACTGCCTAGCAAAATCTGGAAAATGATGGCGTAATTAAAGAAAAACTTAATAAAGGCCATGCACCATATATAATAGCCTTTAATGAAAATGCAGAGAACAGACAGAAGAAAAACTGTTTAAATATTAGTGCAACATTGTTCAAAGAATTTAAATTTAGTCATGGTCATGGTTACTTTATTCTGAAAATTTAAAAATATTTCAACATGTAACAAAATACCCAAGAAATAATTTAATTCAGGTACTGTGTTGTCTGAGGTAAATGGGGTCTTGAAGTACTCTTAAACAGTTTTAAAATACAAACCTCCATGTCTTAATGTAAAGAGAAATGATGGATGAAAAAAATATTGTATTTGAAGAGTTTGCTACCAAAAAAGAACATCTCCACTCCAATCAAAACTGAGATTTTAATTAGGTTTGGTGGTTTCTCAGCTAGCTCTACTTCTGTAACAAATGTTTCTCTCCTCCCCTCTCATAAAATAGTGATTAGGAAAATAATTTTTTTAAGTAAACCGAGAAAATATGAAAAATTTGGAAAAGAAAAAGCAAACAGTTTTTATTGTCACTTTACAAACAAATTTAGAATCTTTTCTATTTTTTTAAATCTTTTTTTTTTTTTAGAACTGTTCCTAAGAAGTTTGCTCATTGTCCTTAAGAACATTTTACACAAAATGTTTAATTATTCGTTAATTTTATAAGAAAAATCATAATTAAAACTAACTAATTTATTTTATAATATTATAGTCAAAATGTGAAACTGATAATTTATTTTTAGTTTAATCATTTGCTGTTCTCTAAGTACCTTGCATTTTGGAACCTTGATATTTAGTGGTCTTAAACTTAAAGATTTACTAGACATTCAATAAATCTCATTATTAGGTGTTGGACTCCCAGCGATTTCCTTTTTACATTTAGAACCATGCATCCTTTATGAGGTTTTGTTTTCAAGATTATTAAGTTTTTTTCTTTCATGACTTGTTCCTTTTTACTCTGACTAGAATAGATTGAACTTATAAGAGTATTAAATATATAAAATATTCTAATAATTTAAAAATTATTTTTCATGCAATCCAGATTAAAATATGTTTTAAGGGACAAGATGGCCCAATCGGTCGGCTCTTAATATTAAAATCTCAAATAGTAAAAATTAAGGCTTTGTTGGATTAATAAAATACTGGACTGGGCCTGTAAAGCTATTCTAATTGCAATGCAATTAAATTGATTATTAAATGAACTTTAATTAGTTAATGCCTAAATAGCACCAAAAAGCCAATTATTAGATACATGATTATTAAAAATAAAACAAAAATATATGTTAGACAGGGATACCCATTCTCTCCAAGGTCAAGGCCGATCAGTTTGCTCCTCAAGATATTTTATTGCTCTTCTCTTTTTCAAATCAGTTCAAGCTTAAGAAGAATTTTAAAGATCATAGGTCATATACAGTTACACTTTCATTGGTTTGTTCTCTGCTTCCTCTTGTTTCCTGATTTGAAACTTGAAGATTTCGGAAAATCATAATCCAGTCGAAAGTGCCCCCTCAAAAATTCAAACCCCCATCAAAATGTGCCCCTCTCAAAAATTTTAATGGTGTAATAACTTGCACCACAAAACAAACCCCCTTCTGAGCATTCTTGATGTTAGGAATTAAATATATAAGTGGCTTCATATCAAAGACTAATGTCTGTCATTTTTAAAAATTTGAGAAAAAAATCATTTTTGTAACATAGCTTTAATGTAGACCTATTCTAATAATTGTTCATAATTCAACTCGAAAATTCTTAAATGAAATTATCAGAATCAGTTGAAACTGTAAAACAAAAATTGACTTTTTCTTCACTTTCTGAAAATTATAAATTACGTTTTTGATATGAAGCTACTCATATCCTTGGTACCGTATTAAAGTAACGAATGTTAACCTTTCCAATAATGCATATTCGTAACTTTAACATGATACCGACAATATGATACTTGAATTACATGTAATTGTAACTGTAATTATTCCTTTCTATTACTATATAAAAGTCTTGATCACGTAAAAAAAGGAATTGAAAAAAATTGTGTAGATTTGAGCTGTAATAGAATTCAAGTGATAAAGAATAAAGAATGGATTGGAGGTTAGAATTGCATTTTTAAAATAATAATAATATTAAAGATTCATATTTTGCTAATAACTTTAAATAAAGTGTGCCTAGAGGTGTGGTGTGGTCTGATACCACAGTGTGGTTATGTATACGGCTGCCAAATATGATGCTATAAAACTGTCGCTCAGTTCTACTTTATAATTGCTAATAAAATATAAAATAATTTGTAGCTAAATATTTTTATTTAGAAACAATAGGGTGAAAGAGAAAAAAAAAGATAGCTATTAGCTGGAAGTTTTGATCTAAGAAACATCTAGTACAAGCTAATATTATAAGAGAATCAACGATATGAGTTAAGCTATGACATTAATGTGTCCCTCCTCTCAGAATGGAATTCCATTCCCACCTATTTTCTTATCTAATTATCTTTGCAAATATGCATCAGAAAAAATTGTGACTTTTAGTGTTGTTATTGTATAACCTAATATTGATAAATAAAAATTGTAAGTGCGTGCAAGTATCCAATTACAAATACTAATATGGTTATTATTATAAATGTAATCAAATAATTAATTAAATACCCATATAATTAATTACTACCCTGCTCTGGACCCTCTAAGGTCCACCCAGCCTCTATAATGTGAGTACCCTTAATTGGGAGAAAAAACTTGATCCCTACCAAATTATATGATTCAATGGTTGGCATAGAAACCAGTACTTCCTTATCAATTACACAATCCAAGACCCGTTTTTTTTTTTTTTTTTTTTTTTATAATTTGTTTTTGCTATTTGAGATTATTTTCTGAATTTATACTCAGACCATATTATTCCTTATCTGTACTGTTTCCACTAATATATATACAATGAAATATCCTTTTGATTAAAAAAAAAATCTGTAAATACACACAAACAATTTATGGGCAAAAATTTCAATGTGCAACAATAATCTTTTGTTATAAAAACAAAAAGGTTGAAAGGATGTTAACATGAGATATTATAAAAAAGTCCTGCTATTATCTTTATCTTCTAGCATTATCCACAAGATACTTTCTTTAGTTGTTTGTTTAGACACACTGCATGGGTTACGATTGAATAAAACATATTGATTTTATTTTTAAAAATAAAATAAAATAATTTTCAAAAATAAATTCAATGCATTTACTATTGATATTAACTTTGTTATTAAATGATGTTAATAGGTAAGAAGAGAAGAGATAATGAAATCAAATCACTTAATGTGAAAATCAAGAGATTGGAACTGACAATAGAAAGTCTTCTGTTAGAAAGAAATGGAAACTTACCTGCGAATATCAATAATAATGTCAGTGTAGAATGTCAGGTAATTGAAAATTAATTATGTTTCCAATTTCGTGTCCAAAAAAATACCATAAAACTTCTCATTAGCTGATACCTTCAAGGAATTAAATTTTGTCCCACAATTTTATTGTTGAATGAATTGATACAAATACTTAATTGAACTAAGTTATTATAAATAAAATTAAAGTTCCAATAATTTGAGCCTTACTGGTTTCCGGCTGTTTAAATCCTTTCATCAAGCTTGTATGTATAATATAGAGCATCTCTTAATACTAGGAAATAATTGAAAATTAGATGAGTTTTATGAATTGTCCACTACACAGAAGTGTCCGCTAACTTTATTTCACTATATTTATGTATATGTAACAATATTTTCTTTTAATTTATTCAAATTTAATTATTTCAGGTTGTAGGAGATGGTTCATTGACCCATAACTTGATGGCTGAAATAAAAGAACAAAGAGAAAAATTAATGCTTTCTCTTAGCCATAACGACTTCATTAGGCAGAGGTTGGAAGAAGTGTTATCAAGCGCTCCTTCATCTCCAACTAAGGTATAATTATATGTGGCTTCTTCAACTTGCTTTGGTTTTGTAGGCTATAACCTAAGAAAAATTACTATTTAATAGGCAACTTTAGTTTAATACCATAATAAATTTTATTTAAAAAAATATATAAATAAAAATTAGAAATTTTTCAGTAAAGTTCGTGATAACTAGAGACCGGATTTTCGTAAAAATCCTGAAAACGTGCAGTAAAAAACTCAAAATTTGCAAGATCATGCAGTAAAAATCCAAAATATGTAAAATTGTTTAATTAACCCCTAAATACGTGTAAAATCGTCAATATTACTTAATTTATAACATTAATACATCGAAATCTTATCAGATCTTGAGTTAACCGAGAGATAAAAATAAAATAAATTGAAATGTAATATTGAAAATTAAATTCCAAATTATAATTAACTATTATAACAACGATTATTATCAAGTAACGCAAAACATTGAAGGTTTAAAGAAATAAATGAAGGCAGGAATTATAGGTACCTATATATTATGTAGACCAGAACAATTTTAGATATTTAACTTTTATTAAAAATAATAATGAAAACTTTATTTTTTAATAGAGTTGAAATTTCCAATATTATACATTCCAAAACATATTTGATAAAATTTTAAAAGATTTTGAAATAGACTGTAATGTTTGAGATTTTCAAGTGTTCAAATAAATGTCTTACTAACAAAGCAGCTAATTCTACGAAAGCAGCTTTTTATTATCCAATACTTTAGGCAAGTTCTATTCCAAGAATAAATCTAACTTGTGTTTACTTCTTCCTTTTATTTAATGAATAAGATTTTTGCTTACACAAAATTATTTGCTTTCCTCATATTTTTCTATTTTAAATAATGAATTTAATTTGAACAATATAGTAAAATAAATATTAACATACTCATTTATACATTTGTATTTATACATCGTCTAATTTATCACAAAAGTGTGCAATTTAATGCAACAAACATCAAAATCGTGCAATATAAAATTTAAATATATTATTCTACAGGTCTTGAAACGGATAGATATTCAAGTCCTGAGTTTTTACACGCAAGCTAATAAAAAGTGCAATACCATGGAAATCCGGTCTCTAGTGATAACGCATAAGTCATTTATGCATCACTTGTTTTTTTATAACAATTATCCTGCTTTAATTTAATTTTTTCTTTTATCAGCATAATTTCTTTATGATTTTATATAATTATAATCCGTCCAGTCAATTTTTGTTTTCTTTCATTATTAATATTTACAGGACAATTATTTTACCTTGCTTCAGGCCGATGGTGATAAGTCAAGATCATATGATCACAATTTACTTCAGCAAGTCATAAAGATGACGGATAAATTAGAAGAGAGCTGTAGCCTTTGTCTGGATTTAGAGACTAAGTACATGGAGTCTGAAAAAGAAAAATTATCGCTCATTGAAATGTTAAACGCATCTGAAGAAAAAGCAAATTCATTGTCTGCGGAGTTAACAAGTAATTCATACATTTTTTAAATCAATAAAAATGCCTATATTAAATATTTCTCACCAAATGTAGAATAAAGGTACAACTCACAAAATTTCAAAAATTGAATCAAGAATGGTTTCCAACTGAGGAAGTATCACTTTTTGTACATAAATTATATTAGTAAATCTAGTTGGGCCTGCCACTGCTATTTCCTCCTTCCCCCCTTCATAGGAAGTTTCTTAATTCAGTAAACAGATCGAGTCTTTCTCATGTGGAGAACTAAGAAACAATTCTGAAATACCCATGCAATTGGATAGCATGTAAGTAATTTTGCTTTGTAATTTTTTTGTACTGTCTAATGCGTGTCGATAATTAATTTTCTACCAAGTTTTATTTATTTTAAAATTCTAACACACTTATTTTTATTTATCTTTAAAATGGGTTCTTGTGGGCTTCACATTTTAAAATTACCTGTAGATATTTTAAAACATGCATCAACTTGGGTGTCAGAAAACAAATAATTTATAAAAAAATAATTTAATACACATTTTCTATGAAATTTTTCTTTATAAAAGTTTAAAAAGGTTATTATTATAATCTTAATGTTCAAATGTGACTTTTAATGTAATTATTGAACTAGATTATATTTGGTGAAATTTAATTAAATTTAAAAATAAAGGAAAAATTAATTATGTTGGCAGTTTTGTTTTTCTTTTCTTTCACTTCTTTTATGAATTAAGTTGAAGAGGATTGAGAAAAAGTTAACATCTTAAAATTAATTAAAAATAAATATTCTACTATTGTTGGTCAGAAGAAAATCGGTTGGTCATGTCTTTTCAAGTTATACTGCACAACTATTAAAAGTGTAGAGCAAAAAATGTGTGATATCCAAACTATTTTAATTTTTACCATTATTCTACGACAGGTGTGATTTTATATTTCATTAATCTTAAAATATTATATTCAATACATCCTATAGCTGGAACAAATTGTAATTTTAATTTAGTAATAAGTTGTGAAACATTTTCCACACTTCCTTTTATTTATTTTTTTCTTTTACGCTTTCAACATTTGAGAGTTATTTATCCATTACAAAGAATATAGTATTATCTACATTTCCTATTTGTTGGCATATCCATAATTGTCTGTTTCACTCCTTTATATCCATTAGAATTATTATGTAATTTAAAAAAGAAACTTTTGATTTTATGATATAAAAAGCTATTAGGAATGACAATTCTGATTTACTATTACTTATTTGATTTCCAAATAACAACTAATATAAAGGTTTACCATTGATTAGAACCTTTTATTTTTGATAAAGTAATCATGAGGTCTGGGTTTGAGTCAGGCTTAAGGTAGAACATTAATTTTCTGTTTGGGGGATTGTATAATAGTTTCTCAAGAAACAGTTTGTCATTAATTATTCTGAACCTGAGACCTCATGGGTTTTAGAAATAGATAAAGATTTATTTATATTTTTAAAAATTTAATTTATTATTGATATTTAAATTAAATTTCAGCTCTGAAGTGTACGCTAAAAGAGAAAGAAAATGAACTACTAGAAAAACAGTGTGCTCTGTTGGAGCTGAAAAATTCTGTTATAATTCTTGAAAGTAGAGTGAAACTTTCTCAGGAAGAAGCACAAAAGCAAACTCGCCTATTGGAGACAATTAATCATGAAAACGATCAAAGGACGAAGGAACTTTCTCAGAAGTGGGAAAAAGAAAGAGCAGTATGCATCAATGTTCCTTTATTATTTTTATTGTATTTTCATATTATTTGTTTTTACCATAGCACAATTGAATAATTAAGTGGATGAAGGTTATTCTAAGTAACATTTAGTGAGTTCTATTAAAACCAAATTCAAGTCACCTTTCCCTGTTATAAAGTTAGGACCAGAAAGAACTCTTTTTCACTCTGTCCACTTGTCCAATAAAGTATACTTTTAAAATAATATTAATTCATTTTATTGATTTTTTAAATTTATTCCCTAGTTAGGATTTCTGATGAAAAGTGGGGGGAGGGAGGGTTCTAGAGGTACAACCAAACCTATTCTAACTTCGAAAGATCCGGATTTGAACTAGTGTTGCTATACCCGAAAATAATAAAGCAGGCAACACTTTGACACACTCCTTTTTATTTCCTTCCTATTTTATTAACTTTATATTGTCCTATTCAATTTAGTTAAAAAACAATAAAAAAAATTTGCATTTAGTCAAAAAATTAAATTAAATTTTGTTTGATACCTGTAATTCCCTAAAATGTAGCCCCCATGGCAAGTGTGTCCTGGTAGTGGCATTGTATAAGGTGAATGTGTATCGTCATGTTGCACCTTTATGAACTCAGTTCTGAGCCTACTTCACATCTATATTTTTAGCAATAATTCAAATTTTACTTAGCACCTTTCGTCCACTCAATTCTTCAATTATATAAATGATATAAGAAATAATTTAATGATTAATAAAAATTTTAGCTATTTTAAAATATAGATTTGGATGTGTATGGATGAAATTTGGCAATAATAACTCTGAAGAATCGCATTAAAGAATATATATATGTATATATTACGCTTTACCTATGACATAATAAAATTAATGAACATAATTTTTTTGTTTACCTTTAATTGGTAATTATTGTGACGATGTGCGGTAAGATATTTTCAATCATTGCATGCGTCTTTCACAGGCTGGAAGCTTCTTTTAGAGGCACAATACACACCTCTTTAACATTTTCATCTCTTTGGCGGTACATCAGAAAACTGATTTAGAATAAATGCAATGTTCAACAACAGTACACTTAAAAGCTTACTTGTCGGCTGTGTGCTTTAAAAGTTGTGACAATTTTTTACTTAAATATTAAATTTGATATGTAATAAATGGTAATCATGCATGGCTTAGGATTATTTTCAATATGGATAATTTATTTAATGCAAGAAGTTAGGTAGATTTTACTTGGTAATACAATACTGAAGAAATTTAAAGCGAGTTTACATACATAGGAAAAAAATGATAACTTCATTGATGGCAAGTATCATTAAAAACAAAAATTATATATTATGAATATTTTTGCTTAAATTTATTCATTGTTCAAAAAAATATTTTTTATTTCTTTCTTTAGAAATGATCTTAAATTTCTCATTTGGTTCACCGTTTTCAAGATGATTTATTATCATTATTATCTCCTCAGAAGTGAATGTTAAATGTTTCTTTTTTTATTCTCACATAAACACTAACACAGATATAATAGGATGTTTATAAAAAATAAAAAAAACATTCATAACTGATTTAGGACAGCTTCTTCTAAGAAGTACCTGAAGTATATTCATTACTCACTATTAATATTTTTGATTAGGGTAAACTGCTCATTTTATTAAGAATATGATTTTGCTCTGAATATTAATTTAATGAAAACTTCAATTAGTACTGTAAGACAATTTGAGAAAATAAACACTTCCAAATTTTATTAATAGTTCGGTTTTTGATATAAATAAATGAAGTCTATATTTTTAATTAAATTTTTAAAACTTAACAGTGTGTAAGGTATTGAGAATGCAGACCGTTATATTCAATTTATGTATATTCTTCATATCAGATCTTCAATTTTTTTTAGAAGTAGTTAACATTAGCATGGGAATGGTGGGAATAAACGTGGTTTGAACTAGTAAGAGCCCACTGTAGATTGAGATTTTAATTATTTTTATTGTTTTAGAATTTTTTTAAGTTCACAAATTAAAAAAGTGAATATGAAATTTTTTTTCAATATTTGCCTTTTCTCTATTTCTCGGACTCTCCATTTTTCTGAACTATTGATATCTTATGTTCTTTACATTTTATATAACCTTATTTTAATTTTATTTATTTTGGGTTTTTATTTTTAATGACAAGTTTTTATTTTAGGCAACTTCGAATCATCCTGATTTTTTAATAATAATTGTTTGTAAAATACTTATCAAAGGGTTAATAATACAAACATATATAAATGAATGAAAATTAATCATATTTTCTTTTGCATCCTGTAAAATTAGTTAACATTACCTTTTATTTATACAACAGAAGTTTCCACAAAAAAATTAATTTTTCATTTTAAGTTTCCATAGAATATTTTTTAAAAAATTGTTTTCCATTTATAAAAAACTTTAAGGGACTGGTTGGTTTAAATGATTACTTTTGTTTTATTTTTTTGAAATGCAAATTCCTATTTTTATTGATATGGCTTTGTATTTTGTATGAGGATATTTATTGCTTGATTTAAAGCTTATCTTTTTCTTGGATTTCCATTAGAATTTAATTGTCTTGCTTTTTATTATTATTGATTTTAAATTGAAAATTTTCCAGTCCATATGAAATTTATGATTGAAATTAATAGTTTTGGTTTTAAATAAATATTAATGCTGATTGATATATATTTTCCATTAAACTATTTGACTATTTTTTTATGTTTTGATTTTTATTTACTCTGATGAATTATTAGATCAGACTTTTGAAAAAGATTATTAATTTTAAATTTAAACATATTTTGAAGCCAAAGTTGTTTAGTGGACTTTAGAATCTGTTATAACATCACTCGGACAGTCTCCTACAGAGGAAATTCTTTAAAAATTAGATCGATTTTGCATTTTCCTTAAAGCCTAATCAAGTTTCATTGTAAGTCGGTGGGAAAATCACTGTCGTCGTGGTTCATGGAATCGGATTTTGAGCTATGGTGATTGTCCTATGAAAATGTATATATAACCCAGTCAGAGGAAACAGGAAAAAAATCACTAATCATAATTAATATTAATGAAATAAGGTATAACTATGCTGCTTATAGATGCATTTAGTATAATACAATTTAAACATACTCACTAATTATAATCTAATAAACAGCAACAATAGTAATAAATTTTCAACGATTGTTTATGCTTTTGCATACCTATCCCTCATATACTTCCGCATCTGCTTTTAAACTGTATTAGATTGTGATAAATACAAATTTGTCTTTAAATTAAAGTATAAATTATTAATATTCTTTACTCAAGTAAATACAGTTAAAAAGCAATAACACCATTTATTCTTATTTTAAATAATAAATAAATTAAATAGGATAATGCTATTTGCATGATGTAAATTAAATAACAGTTTCTAAAATAAAATTCTTAATTTTTTTTTTCCTATAGATGTTTTTTGTATATTTAAACCAATTTATAATATTTCTATTTATAAGTGTAGTTAACATATTTTTAATATGAATTGAATATAATTTATATTTTTACTCCTTAAAAATAAAGATTTCAAAAAAAAAATAAACTAATAGAAAATACGCCATGATGATTTTAATAAAATAGATTGATCCTCTCTGATAACAACAGGTACACTTACTAAGTGTGTATGTATGTATTTACATATAAACACCACGTACCAGGTAAAAACTAGGAAACTTCAGAGGATGATCCTACACCTCAACTTGAAAAACAATATATATAAAAAATAAAATATTGATGTATAAATATTGTTTTAATATACTAAAATAGAAATTCCATACATAAAAAAATATATATTGTTAGGTTACATTTCTGTTGAAAAGTTAACAAACAATTTCTGAACCAAATTATATTTATTTTACCAATTATTTTAAATTATTGCTCAGGTTGGGTTGATACAATTAACATGCATTCCTCAATTATATAATAAAGAAGCATACATTAAGTGTATATAACATTTATGAATTTCCATTCCATTTTGTCGTGATCTGCTCTTGGCACTCCTTCTAATTGTCACTATTTAATTTGCACTCACCCTGTTCTTCAGTGAATGTTCTTCCAATTGTTGTGGAAGGAATTGTTATATTCAACTTCTACAATTGTCTTCTCTTAATATTCTATTTTGCTGACTTCGTCTAGTCTAGACGCTCACTACTTTTGGTCACCTGTCAGTCTCTATGATCTTATTTTGCTGGCTCATCACTTTCTCCCTTCATATGCCCTTGCTTTTCCTTCCATCTGTGTTTCTCCGCCTCTTTGTCCATTTTTGACAGTAGTACGTGACACTGCTTTTGCGCCACTATTTAAAATTCTAGTTACCCATTAAATTCCCTATGTAATATTTAAATTACAATATATTACATATACGGCTGAGCTTCATGCCGCAAACTGAAAAGCTGTAGCCCAAGATAGGCAGAGGTGGAGAAGGCTGGTTCAGGCGGCCAAAGATCTACAAAGTCTGTAGAGCAAACCGAAAAAAAAAAAATATATACATATAAATTTTATAACAATATGTAGGACCTCGATATTTTTAATATTTAAAGAGTAACAATCTAAATATTAAAATAACAGTAAAAAAATATTGATATTTATTGTTTGTTTTGCTTTTGACATTTTGAAAAAGGGGTAGAGGATTAAAATTTAAAGTAATTTTTTTGTAAAAAATACTTCTGAATTGCTGATATCACCAAATATAAATAAGTATTATCAAACACAAACAAGACATGGAGGACGTCGAGTGACTTGATGACAGTAATTTTTTTTTATAATGTGACGGTCCTACTTTTAGACAATGTTCCCATAATCCATAGGATTTTCCATAAGAAACATGAATGTCCCACTTTGGATGTTGTACTGGAATCTTGGTTAACTGATTATTTACCATATTTCCCACTCCATGAAGCATTTAAAAAGTTATTCTCTGTTGTATTAAGTGGACATTCTTCGTAAGATATGACTGGTGGGATCACATCATGGTTTACTGGGATGTATAACAAATAGGAAATTTATCACCATAGTATCAAAATTCATGAACAGTCATTTTTTAAATAGATAGGATTTTAATATGAAAAAAAGAGAATAATATTCGGAATTCTCACAAATCCGTCAAGCATCAGATAATGATTAACAGGAACCTTTTTATCTCAATTGTGGTGTAGAATTGTAGAATTAGCTCCTGAAGTTTCCTCATTTTTTATCTTCTTTTAATGTATACCAGGTCATCCCATGAGTAATGTTATTATTTAATTGCTTCATATAAGGGATAGGATAAAATCAATGAAAAATGTTCAATCTAAAACGTATAAGTTCACGATAGCAGTATTTTCTCCTTTATCGAATTCTCAAAGCATAACATGGCATATGTAGTTTTGGGGAAAATCTATTTTAATGAAAATTTCAGCACAAGGTATCTAACTTTCTCCAGCAAAAACATAATAAATGGAAAAATATGTGATGCTATAATAAACAATTTAATTGTAATTGTGGATTAATGGTTGACTGTAGTGAATAATTGAAGAGAAGAATGTTTGAGGTGATCAGCGAAAAAAATAAATAAGTATAGTTATCTTAATTGAAGGAAGTTAGTCGACTGTTCTACATATCATGGGGGATAAATATTCAAGACGCAGTCATTTAAAAAAAAAATTTATATTTTATTTATGCCAACGTTTCAACCCAAACATGTGGGTCATCTTCAGTGCTCAAACCACGCCCTGAAGATGACCCACATGTTTGGGTTGAAACATTGGTATAAATAAAATATAAATTAAAAAAAAAAAAAAGACTGCTTCCTGAATATTTATCATCCATGATATTCATCTTTATTTTTGCTGACGTTTCGACCTTAAGTTCAGAACTGGTCAAGGGAGAGAATGCCGCAAAACGCAAACGTCGACAAAAATTGAAATAAATATACTTATTTATTTCTACTTTTTTGGCTGGTCATCCCAATATTTCTTCTCTTCAATTTAATTGTAAAGGAGGGATTAGTAATATCAACATAAACAGACCGATTTTTAAAAACTGACATTACTTTTTTATGGAATGACCTGGTGGAAGTAGAAAAGAACTTCCAATCTCGTTAGTATTACAAACAGCAGGTATCTGTGTATGTGTATTTTAATCCATTTTTTTTCTAAATAATTAATTACTAGTAATATCCTTAATTAGTAAAGTATTTGTTCCATAAACATATTAAGAGTGCTTTTTAATTCCTTTTTGATGCTCCATAGTTGACTTACTGACTAGGGATATTATTCTGTACTTTTCTGGGTTTTTCTCTATTAACTCTAGAAGTTAATAAACTCATTTAAAATTTTTATAAAGAAAATTTTCAAAATCAAGTAATCGTTAAAACCCTCTAAAATATTATAATAAAGATTAAGCAGTTCTCTATGTAATTCAATGAAATTATACTTTGGTGTAGGATTTTATTGATATAATTTTAAAAAACTAATTAAATCATCCATTTAATCTGTACATTATATTTTATTCTTTTCACCCATTATTTAACAGGAATTGATATGCCGCTATGATGAAGAGATCTCAAGGTTAAAAAACAAAGCAAAGCAGCTTAATGTAGATATGCATGCTGTAAAGTCTGAACTTGGAAAGATCAAAGAAGAAAAAGAAATCATGGAAGGGGAGTATAAGATTTTAGTTGACAGATTGGAACGTGAAAAGAGAGATATTTTGGACAAGGAATCACAGAGGAGGATTGAAGCTGAGGAGCGCTTGAATGAGGCTGTCAGGATTCAAGCAGATTTGCGGATTAGGCTTGACACTGAAGCCAATAAAATCGCCGAAATGGAGACTGGCCAAAAGGTATCAATTATTTATTTATTTTTTTAAATTTCATAGGTATATACTAATTTCAAAGTATTTTATTGTAAAGTTTCAACTATTCAATTAAATCATATAAGGTTAATCCTTTTTGAATATGTTTATCACCAACAAAAAATAATTCTGTTTAAAAAAAGCCGTGATGATGACTGATCATTAAGGTTATGAGCTACTAGGTTGTTACAAAAGTATTTGTGCATTGATTCATTGCTGATATCGAATCCTCCATTCTTATTCTTCTTTGACTCTTAACTAATATGTATATCATTGTTTACTTGGACTAATTCTTTATTTAATTATGTAAACTATTTCTCTCTGCTTCTTGTTCTATAAATTTCATTGGAAATATCAAAGGAAAAGATTGTCATTTCTGGTATGCTGAAGCACTGCGAAGGTGAAAAGGTAACACACAGCGGTGCTCAAGATATGTCGAGATTGGATCACTTGAATTGTTCAGAATCTGTCAGTCAGGATTTCTTGTGATCATTTGAGAATTATTGACTAAAATAGCAGTCCTATAATCCAGATCAGATTCTCGTGACTCAAGAACGAGTTGATATATGTAAAAGTTTGCTTCAAAATCCAAAAGATCTTAGATTTAGGAAAAGAAATGTAACGACTTACGAAAAATCGTAAATTTTACAAAATCCTTTCAAAATAAAAAATTCTATATTGCAAGGACAAGAGACTCAAGCCAAGATCGATTTAGAAGAGAGATAATTAGGAAAAGGCAAAAAATAGTTTAAAATAGTAACTATTTATTTGAGTCTGTGTTTCAAAACAACTATGCATGTATTCATCAGGGCTAGAAAGAACAAGATAAATAACTGTATAATATGTAAGAGTTACAAGTTAAGATTAATAAGATAAACATTCTGAAAATATCTTAAATTAAAATTGATGAGGAATTACTACAAACCATAAAAAGATATTTATATATAATATCCATTTCATGTTATTTAGTAATTCCTTATTATCTATTTATATATTTTTATTAATTTTAATTATAATAATTATTTTGTTTATATTTTGAATGTACTTAATACATTTTAATCACTCTGTTAATAGTTTTTGTTTTTAATGTCTATATCATTAATTTCAGCTTATATACAGTTTTGTATCTTGTTTTTTCTATCCATGGTGAAGATTTATATAGTTGGGTCCGAAACATAGACTTAATTTTAAGTTTCCACTATTTTATATAATTTTTTGACATATATTGGACCATCTTTTTCTTCATTATACAAATTCTGCCATTAAATATCAAATAAATATAATGCTTTGTATTTGATGGAATTATGAATTCTTCCTGCTTCCAAATAATAATAAGCTTCACTGTGAACAACTCGATAGAATATACAGTGTTTTAAAAGAAAAATATCCTGTTTTGTCATCAGAACAAAGCAATATTTCAGTAAGGCAATGTTTCTTCTATCCATTGCTGATGTTCAGTTTAAGAAAAATTCTCAGATATGGATGAGGTTAATACATCTCTGGTTTTGTCTTTTTTGGTAAGTGATACATATTTTGAAAGGCAGGCACTTTTGAAAACCAAGAACTGATATCAACGAAAAATCCAACTTGTAGCAGGAAGATGGGCTAAAGTAAAATGATGGCCTATATCTTGAAGAATAATTTTAATATTTATATTTTATATTGAAATTTAAATACATTTTTTTTAATGCACAAATACTTTCATAGCGACCTTAGTATTAGAATGTACTTGTCGATAGCTCTCAGAGCGGGCTTGGAGGAGGAGGGTGGCGGCTTTGGAGAGCACAGGGGCTGAAACGGAAGCTCGCTTGAGGAGAAAATTAGACCAACTGACTTTGTCGAATTCGGAAGCTGTTCTAGAGCGGACACGGCTAGCCAATGAGCGACTAGTCCTCCAACGTGATCATGCTGTACACTCTAATTTTGAATACAAACTTAGAGCATGTTGCACGAAATAGCTGTTTATGCTTTCTCTCCTATCATTTGTTTCTTTTTTTTCTCATAAATAAAATATTTTTATGATCATTAAAATCTTATTTTATTATTAAAAGCAATAGCATGGGATTTTTTTTAATGCTTGATTTCATATATTTTACTTTTAAATTAAGTATAATGATTTTTAATGCAAAATATAATTGTGAATTTCTCTTAATTTTGTTTTGTTTGAAATGTTTCGTGTTTCGATAGTATAGTTGGCAATTTAACTTCCTTTGAAATAATCCATATTTTAAAAGAAATAAAATATGGATTATTTTAAAGTTAAATTGTCTGCTAGACCATTGATAATTGTGAATATTTGATTATAATTTATCAATTAAAAAAAAAAGTTACAATTAACTGATTCAGTTCTACATATATTTACTCTGTTGCTCTAAGCATAATAAAAAAAAAAAGTAAAAATGGATAATATTTTCCATTGATTAATTACATGTTTCACCTGTCCCATTGTTTTTCAGGGTGTTAAATATTTGTGGAAATCTGGGAATAACAGGAAAAAATCTTTATTTTTATACTTATCGGGGAGAAAAAAAGTATCTTCATGTAGGAATTGTCTCATATATTTTTCCCAAAATTTTAAAGATTTAATTAATGTTATAAATTTAATTAACAAATTAATGATACCCTGCCAGGCTTCCAGGTTTTGCATCCTTTTTTTTAGTTTTAAACTTCCATTAGACTATAAGATATTATATTCTGCCATTACTCACTGCTTGCTGCTTGTCAGCATCGTCAAACAGCTAAAGGTGCTATCTAAAGTTATAATTAAAGCTTTCTAGAGGTTATAAAGATTGAATAATATAAATCAAATTTAATTCAATGACCAATTGGAATAGTGTTGTATTAAGTGGACTGTGCAGGAATGTATCAACAGATTTTTTTTTTATATTAATTTTTTCATTCAAATTTGGTACTCTTTTAATTAAATGTACATATTTACCAAGTGATTAGGGATAAGAGCTGTTGCCTGGATAGAAAATAATGCAGAAAGTGATTCAAATCACTATTGGATTTAAGGGAGAGAGGGGGTTTTCAGGCTGAAGCTCTCTCCCGAAACAGAAAATTAAGTTTTTTTTCTTTTTTCATTGGTACATTTTTGTTTTTATGAGTGATCTAAGCCAAATAAGGGGCAGGGTGGCCGAACGGGCTAACCTCCCAGTGTTGTATGGCAACCTAATAATCGAAAGTTATAGCAGATAAAATAAGTACGAGTTCGTGTCTCTGTGCCAGAGGGCTTTTAACTCTGCCATCAATCCCCAGCCCTCGCCCTTCGGCCCATAAACCTGTATAGCCTAAAAGGCAAGGAAAGGGAGAAAAAAATAATAATCTAAGCCAAATAGTCAAACAATCACAGTATATTCTCTTTTTAAATTATAACATATGTACTTTAGCTACTAAATGTAAGCACTTGTCATGGAAATATATAAAAATTTTATTTCCGAAAACATTATTATTTCTGTAATTACCATCATTAAAAATAAATATAAAAAAAAACTTAGCCAAACCCCAAAATTAAACTTTAAATACACTAGTTCTGCAATAAGTAGAAATAAATAATATAAAATATCTGAAGAATTTTTATTCATATTGCAATAATATGCAGTAACGTATGTTTGTTGATGAACAAGAATATAACTTAAATATAAGTAATAAATTTTAAAAAAGAGTATACTTTATACATGCATATATCAATCACCTCTAAAATTAAAAAAAATACATAATGTAAAAAAAAAAAAGTTCTCGTTCAATAATAATTAGATGAAAAATTTTCCATAAGTTTTTCTAACAAGCTGAAAAGTATAAAATCTTAAGCTCATCTTGTATTGAATTGCCAAACAAAATTGCTAAAGAATGTTAAGTCAAAAGGATCAAATTAAAGTTTACTACTTATAAAAATGAATTAATTACACAGTTTTACATGATAATGATTTTTTATTGACTTTTTTCAAGGTTGGGAATTTTATGTAATGTTTGAGGAGAACCTGTGAATTAATTAGCTGAACTAGACGTAAAAACTCTTGTCATTGATTAAATTTATTATACTGTAAGTTCTTTTTAACCAACAATTGTATTTTTTTTCATTTGTGTATTAACTAGGGTTTCAATTCTGACAAAGCTTAGCAATTTTCAACAAGAAAAGATTTAATATTTTTTAGCTGGATTTGAAAGCTTCATAAAATATACATTTCAGCCTGAAGGATTACTTTTTAAAAGTTATAGGTTTTTGCACTCAGTTATTATATTATATTTTTTTATGAGGAACTTATGATTCCTTTAATTCATATTTTTGCTCAAAATTTATAGTTTAATATTAAGCAGACATTTAATTAAAAATTTTCATTGTTATTTATGTTAATTGGATCATTATTTTTAGCAGTAGAAAATATATTAACAAAAATAAATTATTAGAGAACATATAATCATTTTTTTACTATAAAAGATCAAGTTTATTTTATCGCAAAGGGGTGGAGTGGCCGAGCAGGCTGCTAAAGCGGCGGCACAGCATCGCCGTTGCCCTGCGACCTGATATATGAGATAATTTGATTAAAATAATTACGAGTTCGTGTCCCGGTGCCAAGGAGATCTTTTAACTCTTGCGTTAATCTTCTGTTCTTACCCCCTGGCCGGGAAAACCCTTATATAGCCTAAAAGGTGAGAAAAGGAAGCAACAAAAAAAAAAGTTTATTTTATCATTATTTTACTGTAGTATTCAACAAATATGTTTTTTTTGTTTTTTTATGGCCTACCAATCACATACGATCAAACTGTATTAAGCAATTATGTTATTAACTGATTTATTGAATACTTATAAGTTTTCAAAACTTTCTCAATGTGTGTGAGTGTGCAATACTTTCTTCTTTTTCTTTTTCAAAACATTTACAATTCACTTGAATGATAAACTATTTTATAATATTTTGTGTAATATAATGGATTTAGGACTGCTCTAAAGTATTATTAATTCAACAGTTTGAATAAATACGTAATTATTTTTTAAGTGTGCTAAACATAATTATGTAAACTCAAATTCAACTATCATCACTCCCATTTGAACACCTTTTTGTTTTGTTAATTGGTAAGAAATTCCAGGTTAAGTTTATGTTGATACTGATCCATCAGTTATTTTTGGTTGTAATCAAGAAATACATATTACATGAATTATTAACATTGATTTATTTATTTTTATATAGCTTTGTATATTGCTTTTACTGTTTTAATGAACCAGAAAACAAATATTTAAAAAATGTTTACCTCTAAATATGTGTCCATTTTTATTGATAGATAATATTCATTAATTGTTGTAACTTCTAATAATTATTTCAAGAATATTAATTTTATTGCCATTAGTAAATGAAACTTTACTGCATGTAACACCATATTGTTCTTATTGATTGTTGACTTATTATATGGACAATTGTTTTTAGTTGATGACGATATAAAAGTTTATTGCTTGTTTGCATAATTTGTTGTTACCAGCTAAAAAAAAAATATTACTAAGCAATTTGCTGCAGTGATGTTAAAATGCATGGATTTGTGTGCTATGATTGTTGCCTTTGATTTCTTACATGTTATAAATTTTTGTTGCTTTCTTATATAATTTTAATTTGAAAAAATAAATCTAAAATATTTTACACAAATATAATAAATAAAAAAAAATCAGCTGATTGTTTTGATCATGGCTTATTTAAAAATTCCATAAAATAAGTTTTTGTAATGTTCCATTTCAAAATTATTGGAATTAGTTCAAAACCAGCTCAACCAATTTTTCCCATTTTTTAAAAAAAAATTATTTGTATTTTAAGTTCCCATTTATTACTTCAATTAGAACACTAAGGACAGATTAAAAGTAACAAACCTATTCTAGCCAGAGTGACAAAGCCGAGTTTAATTTTATAAGTCCCCAAAAAATAAATTTTAACCAATCATGGTTAGATTCTAGCAATTTTGACTTAAGGTTAATAAGATGACAACTTAACATTCTTTGCTATGATGGCTTCTCGCGTGTGTGTAAATATATCTTTTTTTTGGTCCAAATTCTCAATGCAGTGCACCACTTGGCAAGTCCTATTGACCAGAAGTCTCCCAATCCAGTATTAAAATGGATATACCTCAAAGGCAGCATAATCATCTATTTGCTATGTTGTTTTAAATAAAATATCTTCAATAGTTGGCCACTCGCTTGATGCAATTATTGGATCATGAAAAAATAGAATTCCTTACCAAAGATGGGAAATCAAAGTATATGGTTTCTGGATGGGAAATCAAAGTATATGGTTTCTGGAATAATACTAGATCGAGGAGAAAGCAGTTTGACAAGCCCTATAAATTTGAAAAATTAGCTGAATTTGTGTATATTGGCTAACTAATAACAAAAGATGATTAATGCTCCCGACTTATAGATAAGAATATGAATTTTGGCTGACAAGATGTATCAGGATATAACAGTGCTGTTTGTTTTACTATATAAGACACTTATTTTGCCAGTAATATTATGTGGATCTGATATGTGTTTAAGTATTCTCTGTCAAATATTTAGCAGTTAGATTCTCCTGACTTATTGAAAAGAAGATGAATTTTGGCTAACAAGTGCTGCTTTACTATATAAGTCTCTTATTTTGCCGGTAATATTATATGGATCTGAAATGTGTTCCAAGTATTTAAGAGGAAGATATTTAGAGCAATTAGAACTAAACAAGTTCGCCGTTGTCCATCAAATCAAGACCATTACAATATTTTGCAAGAATAGAAGAGGGTTGAGCCTGTTTTGAAACTGATATAACCTCATATATCTATATAACATCATATATAACAATGCTGATTTCTTTTAAAAGTTAATTATTTAAGTTGGGAATTCATGAGCCTAATAAAAATATTTTAAAGTATGAAGAGTTAAACCAACCCAAATAAAAAAAAAATAAAAATTGAGGATCGTTTTATTAAAAAAATTCAATAAGTGAATTTTTCTTAAAAAATGATTTCTTGACATATCCTACATTTGAAAATAATTTATTTATCCTTCAATGATAAATTCTATAGATATAATTTCAATATACTTTATTTTGGGGTAAAAAAAATTAGATATATCACTTTTCTGGCCATGAAAAATGTCCAATAAAATTTGGTTAATTGTTTTTTATGCTAGCAGGTAAAATGCGAGCTTGAAAGAAGGGTTACTGAACTGGAACTGGCCAATCAAGAACTAGAAGCCAGACTCACGTCGTTGTCAAAACCAGACACCGTACCAACGAGCCCTATTGATTTCAAGAGGCAGAGGAGTAATCCCAGTTCTGATTACACATCAGATCACGAGCATCACGTAAGTACTCTTTGTTAAAAATAAATAAAATAAAATAGAGTGATATAGATATTACTGGGTAAACATTTGAACAAATAATGCTTAAACATGCGATAATGCTTGTTACTTCCAAATTTACTCAGTTCATAAACCTGATAGTTATAGGGGGCAGGGTGGCCAAACGGTTGTGCAAAACACGCATTTACTGACAATTTGATAAATTGTAGATAAAGTTTTGTGTATAATAAAAACAAAGATTTACATGACACAATAATTATGGATTCATGTCACAGTGCCGCAGGAGGAGAGCCTTATAACTCTGGCAATTATTCCACATCCTCTCCTCTGTCCAGGGAAAAATCCCATATAGCTGTGAAGGGGAGGACAAAAAAAAAAAAAAAAATACTGCAAATTATTTCACATTAGTTATTATTTCCAAACAATTATACATCTAAAGTAACATTACCTTCCTATTGACAATTAGAAAGAAATAAAAGGTGCTACCAATTATTGTCCTTATATAAAAAAATAGCTTTACTTCAGTAACACATTAAAAAACCAAAACAATGGATATAACCTTTGCTGTATAACACATAAAAAGTATCTAGTAGAGACCATATTTTTGCTCCTAATTGTCCAATTTAAGAATTTTTCGTTAACTTTTAAATAACAACATCACCAAAAAAGTGCACACTTCTTGAGTTATTTAGAATCTAATTTTACCATCCCTCGTAACTCTTTTTCCAACTTCTTTTCGTTAAAGTATGTTATATAGATAAATTTAAAGGGCGTCAAGAGGAAGAGTTTAGTCAAGTTTCATTGAAATCGGTACATTTGTTAAGGCATAAAACATTTGTTTAGGCACTACTGTCTATAGGAATGCAGGTTTTTCGGCCGCCATTTTGAAAGTAAAAGGATAGTAATGTCGATGAAGGACGATCATCCTCGGGTGACCTTTGATTTTGAATCCAGGTCCAGTAGTTTCAGGGAGAAAATGCGCGGACGGCAGATGGACAAAAACATTTGTATTCGTTTTTCGAATTCTACATATCCTGAAATGTAAAACCTCAACGTTTGAGAGAGTGTTAAGTTTTTGTTCGATTACAATGGTTCATTATAATATTAATAAACAATTTAGCACCTTACAAAGATGGTTCAAGATATTTGAATGAGAAAAGTTAATGATACATATAAGATGCGATATCATCTACTTCTTGTTTTAGCTTAAGCCAAACAATTCCTCATTTGATTGGTTTTATGGAGAATATTTAAATACTAAATAACAATAAGATGATTTTGCCATATGTACTAAAAATAAAAAAAAAGTTAGAAACGTCTTTCTCAACAAGTTCAACTGCTTTGCTATGAGGTACAGTCTCCAATGTAGAGATAATTATCGATAGTCGATATTATACAAATATCGATATTTTACCATCAGTAGTATGTACTTCGATATTATCGATTATTGATATGATGGTCCCTTCGATGTTTTAATTTAAAAATTAAAATTAAAATTATGGTTTTAGAAAGCGCTAGAAATTATACATGAATCTGATCATTAGAAAAAAATATAAACTTATCTTGCCTGTTTCTTATAGAATATACTGCGTAGTAGAGGAAAATATCGATATTTCGTTAATATCGACTATCAATGGCCATCTCGTAGTAGATTTGAATAGCGTACGTGGGACTCTTCGCTCAAAAAACTCAATTTGTCCAAATTTGTTAGTTATAACCTTCTCAAATAAAGGCCACGAATTGTCAAAAAAATCTATGTATAATGCAAGTAAATTAGCATTTTGCTGAATTCAATCTATGGAGGAATAAAAGGCATAATTGTTAGAATGAAAATTTCTATAAAAAAGCTGAGGATGGCAAAAATGGAGAGGAACTAGAATATTAATTTTATTTAAGAGGGTAGAAGAATTGATATTTCCATTAATTAATTTAAAGAGGAATTTAAAATGTTTTTTGATGCGCTTATGTAGTAGAGAATCAATATTTAAATTTTTATTCGTATTTCAAAAATATTTATAATATTGATGAAATATTGACTCAATATTAATATCTATATTAGGCTCTCGATATCCCATCCCTACTACGATGCCATTTCCTTTCTCTCTTTCTCTCTCTCTCTCTCCCTCTCTCATTTTATACATACTAACATCTGTATTACATGTATTCACTAACATTAAAATTAAAATTAAATTGAAAAATATTGTAAGGTAAATTGTGATGAAAATTCTAAATGTATTTGAATTTTTGTCTGTAAGAAAGGGCCATAGATCCTAAGACAAGTAAAGATCAATCAATTTCTCTTTAAGTAAGGGCCCATGACTTATCAATATTAGCTTCTCCTAAAGTACCTTTAATTTTTTTTATTTGAAACAATTGACCATTTCACATTAATCTATAATATAGAAGATAATTAAATATAAAATATGAAAGAATTTGATAAGTAACTAAAGGAGAAATAAAAGATCGGTACGGAGAATAATGTGAGGAAATACTGTTTCAAGGCCAACGGTTTGTTAGGAGGTGATGGGGCCGATATCACACTCAACCGCCAGGTTTTCCCCCTTAATTATTTTCTACAATTAAGAGTACTCCCTTTATAGAGGCTGGGTGTGCCCCAGGAGGGTCTCCCAATCCCAGGGTCAATCCACGGCTAATGAAAATTACTAGTCATTAGCCGGATTCGAACCTAGAACCTTGAGATCTGCAAGTCAGTGCTCACCCACTGAGCTACCCCGCTCCCATAGATTACAGCTACATAAATATTAAAATTTGTATATATGTAAGGGTACTTATGCAAATAACAATAAATAATGTGGCGCAACGCACCAGATTTTTTATCATTAATACTGTGCTCATTTTACTTATTTAGTCAGAAGTACAGATCTGCTTTATTTAATAGACTAGTTCCAATATTTTATTTTATTGAAATTAAAGTTTTTCTAAATAGATTACTTATTTAGTTATTAATATTTTCTTATACTTGATTAATCCTTTTTTTTTTTCAGAATTGGTTCCCTGCTTGTGTCCGTACAAATAACAGCAGCTCTCCTGACCTAGGCATTGAAAGTGATAACAGAATGTCTAGCCTAGAAGCACTACCTTCTACCAAGCCCAACGGTGATTATTTTGTTTTTATATTTATAAATTTTATTCAAACTCGTAACATTCTGTTCAGTTTTTCTTTTATCATCATCATAATTTATTTCCTTTTTACCGCTTAAGTTTGATGAGCCCTTAAACTTAAAAATTTAAATTTAAAATCCTTCCTACAGTTTTATATGGATGTGAAAAGTGTTTTTGAAAACATTATTGCGTAGAATATTGGAACCAAAGAAGGGTGATTCAACCAGAAGATTTAGAAGGTTTCATTGTATTGTACCTTATAAATGTAATTGAGATGATTCAATTGGGTTGAATAAAATGTTTAATAGGACTTAGTGATAAAAGAATCCCCAGAAGGTAAATAAGCAACCATTGTGCCAACTGGTAAGTATACAAATAGTAGACCGAAAGGAAGTTGGGAGAATTGTGTTAAGACAGGTATGGCAAGTATAATTTTGGACAGTCGTCCGTGAATGGAAGTATGTAACAGAGATTGGTGGTATTGATATCAAACCTTTTTGTTGCTAGGTCCCCAATTATCATTATTATTGTGTGTTTATTGTTGACTGTAGTGAATAATTGAAGAGAAGGGTGGTTGGGATGATCAGTCAAATTAAAATGGTAAAAAATAAATTATTTATTTCTTACCATTTTAATTTGACTGATCACCTCACCCATCCTTCTTTCTATCATTATTATTATTTTAAAAATGATTACATGGAGGACATGATGGCCAAGCACATTAGTGCGTGTGTCAGAGAGTGCCTGCTTCTGAACGTTGCGAGTTTGATTTCCACATAAGCCTGTTAATTTTCTTTTCTTGGCGGCCCCAGGGAATGAATCTTGATATTCCTATCTGGTAAGTACGCGGCAGCAACTTCAAGGTTGGCAAAAAGCACAGTGTGGCCCACTTGACTAGTTTTCCTCCACCAGTACCAGTAACATAATGGAAAAGAATTCATACAGTGTTGATTCCTTATCCTTTCATTTATCTTCAGTATTAAAATTTTTTTTAAAGATACGGCCTATTAAAAGTCAAATTTGGTGTTGCATGGGTGAATATGAATATACATATTTTTTTGTGTACATCATGAAATAAATTAGCTGGGTTTATACCATGCAAGTGAATTGTAGAATATACTGGGATGTCTTAGTTCTTAATGGCCAAACTCAGGAGGGTGATACTAGACAAAATTATCAATAAAAAAGTTCATATGATGCAGGGGCCAATCCCTTATGGAAAAGACCTATTTTATGTTTTTTTTTAGTATGGTCATGCTTTTTATTGAATAAGAAGCAATTATTCAAAAACTGTTCAAGTAATTAAATTTTAAGTACACAATTGTTAAGTAAACAAAATTTTGTTAAGACAGTGATTAAATTGAGTAAAATCAGTGATAAAAGGGACTTTGAGGAGATCTAATATGGCTGCTGTACTCCTGCAGTGACAGTGCTCATAGCCTAGCAGCATATCTCTATAATCCCGATTCATGAAATAATTTGGCATAATGGTAGACTTTGCATTATTAGACCTCCTCAAAGTCCCTTTTATCATTCATCTTAGTAAATTTAATCACTGTTTTCTCTAAGAAAATTTGGTCTACTTTACGATGGTGTACTAGTGAGGTGAGGTGAGGTAACTCAGTGGGTGAGCACTGACTTCCAGAGCTCAAGGTCTCAGGTTCCAATCCGGTTGATGACTAGTAATTTTTCATTATCCGTGGATCGACCCTGGGGTCGGGAAACCCTCCATCCTCTGGGAAACCTGGCGTTTGAGTGTGATATCGGCCCAATCATCTACCTGCACAACCCTTGGCCTTGTAACAGTACTTCTTCACATAATACTGCACCCAAGACCCTTCATGAGTTGTAGTGGGGAGGTTTTTTTTTTTTTTAAGATGGTGTACTTAGAATTTAATTATCATATCTACCTGCACAACCCTTGGCCTTGTAACAGTACTTCTTCACATAATACTGCACCCAAGACCCTTCATGAGTTGTAGTGGGGAGGTTTTTTTTTTTTTTTTAAGATGGTGTACTTAGAATTTAATTATCATAAACAGTTTTTGAATAATTCCTTCTTATTCAATAAAAAACGTGACCACAATAAGAAAAACACAAAATTTGTATTTTCCATTTGTAATTGTCCCAAGCATCATATGAACTTTTTTGTTGGAAATTATATCTAGAATCACTTTCCTCCAGAGTTTGGTCATAAAGAATTGAAACATCTATAACATTTTGTTTTTGTTTGTTGTTCCAAAATAGGCTCGTTAAACCCTTGAAAATTAAAAAAAAAATTCTACCACCACTTAATGCAACTTACAATGTAAAAAAAAAGGTTAATATTAAATAAATATGAGGCATCCACTTCGGTTAAAGGATTTTTTATTGATGGTACAGTTGGTTGGTTTTGCAGGTGAGGACAGATCAGATAAGCTGGAGCTCGAGAATGTAGAGTTGAGGGCGCAGCTGGCCAAAACGAAGCAGACCCTAGAAGACACAATTACGCAGCTGACGATTGCCAACCAAAGGAAGAAGCAAGTCGAGAAGGCTATTTGCAGGCAGTTACACAAGACGCATGACATACTCAAGCAAGCAAGGCTCAACCTTGATGGAAAGGATAAACCTGTGATTTAGACGTTTTAAATTTTTAATGCGTTTTTATATTATTTTTTTTGTTTGGTGTTGAAAAGTTTTACTATTTTAATGGACCGCATTGTGATTGATGTTGAATATACTGTTGTCATTAATTTTAATGATTGTGTATATATGTGTATTAAGTTTTTTTCATTAATAAACAAAAATTTAGTTTATTACTAGTCATTATATCTTTACTTTTAATAGATATTTCCTTTAAAATTTTGAGTATTATCTTAAAAGTATTAATCGAGTTTTTAAAAGACTTTTTAAACTTAATTATTCTGTGAACAAAAATTACTTATAAGTTATTTACTTGTTTTTATATCAAAATATTTTTTTTTTTTTGTCAACTAATTTATGTATATAATTTTTAAAGAAATATATTCATTTTTGGAAGGAGTATTTTAAGTAAATTAACAAGTATTTGGTAATTAGTGTGTTATATTGTCTGTAATTTATATGTTTTTTTTTCTAAAACTTATAAAATAATTTTATAATCATTATCTGTGATTTATTAATAGACTTTATGGGCAAGTTTGTAGTTATTGTGTATTTTTGAAGTTTTAATTTATGTTTTTATAAATAACCATGTTTACAATTTTAAAATGCCAGTGCCAAATACTCGGGCTTACAGGCCTGTAAAAATATACATAGCACAACTGCGATTTGGTATTATATAAATTGTATATACTTATAAATATATTATATTTATATATATTTTTAATAATTTATGCATAATATTTCAATATATGTATATACTTTTACAGAGTTGTTAATGTAATAAAATTTTATTACCAATTACGTATTAAAGTTTGATGGACACGTACCCCTCTTATTACCTGTTTGTTTGTATCAATGCCTGAAACATCATCATATTGAGGTTGATAATTTTAAAATTCTTGCTTTTTACCCATGGAGTTGTGATTTTCATATAATATTATTATTATAATTGGAAATCGGATTGCCTGCTTGCTTTGAAGGACTCTTTAAAAAATAAAAATAAAAATAGTCACCAAAAAATCTATTGATCTAAAAAAGTACATCAATTTAATACAGGTCGGTCTCGATAATTTGAACACGTTGATTGCATTGCCTGTTTGGATTATCAAAGGTTAAATTTAAAATTTGCACTAATTGCACAAGGTAAATAAAATATATGTATTACCAAATATAAATACATTGCTAGCTAAAAAATGATCATATAATGTTCGTTGAATCTCTGATTTTATTGCTGAAGAAAATACCATATATCATAAATTCCTTAAAAGTACCAGGCTTCAGTAGTTGATATTGTATCATCGGAAGTTCTAATGCCTTTAAGGTATTTCTATGACTTATCTCTCTCTCTATTATATAAAAAAAAAAATTTTAATGCGTCACATTTTATATTATTTTAGTATTAAGAGCACTAAGGAGGTTACAAGAGCACTCTAATTACACAGCTGTTAATTTAATTACATATGTGTTGAGCTGCTGTGACTTCCTACTATCCTAATATGAAATAGAGATTTATACCCTTGTGTCTTCCTTACACTATAGAGCTCGTATTACTTAATACTCACCCAATTCAAAATAAAGATTTTAGACTAAAAATATGTATGGGAAATGGTATTCATTCATCTGGAGGTGGTAGTTTGATTTTACCTAGGTGACAGCAGATACTTTATGATATAGATATTTCCCCTTGAATACAATATATTAATTATTTTTTATTATTTTTTTTTATTAACAAAATTTACAACTGTAATTAATAATAAATACAACAAGTAATATGACATGTACAACATGAGGAAAAACTACCCATTGGTAGCACTCCAATTATATTTCTATATTAGAAGGTCCCGAGGCCATCTTCTTTTTAGACGCCTCTGAGGGTTATCAGGAATAGAAGAGGAAGCAAGGTTGGAAACGAGAGGGTTTGGATGGTTCACAAGTTTATTAAGAAAGGACACGTATCTGGATTGAGCTAAATCGGAAACATAAGGAACATTAAGGTCATTATGGATGATTTTATTTGTGACAAAGTAGGGAGCATTAAGGATTTTATGAAGGATTTTGGATTGTAGGGATTGGATACGAGAGGAATTTGATGGTTTAGTAGAGCCCCAAAGCTCGATCCCATAAGTCCAAATAGGCCTTATTATAGTAATATATATGAGTCTTTTGTAAATAGTTGGCAGTTTAGAACGTTTGCCTAGTAAGTGCTTATTAATTATTAATTTTATATTGTGATATAATTAAAATTATTATGAAATAGAAAAGGAAGTACAATATAATGAACAATGAAAATATTAGAAATAAAAGGCTTAAATTATTGTTGGGCTTATATGACGCTGGACAAGTTAAATATATGTATTATGTTTCAAATTGACAATAGGAATAATTATAATAATATAAATTGGCAAAAAGGCTGTAATAATATAAGGTAAATTTTTAAAGAAATTAAGAATTTGTACAAGCTGTAGTTTTGTTCAGTTTATTTTGTATTGACAAAAAATAATACAATCTGAACTATAGAATACGTTTAAATTAAAGTTATATAATATGAGCAATGAGTAGAGTAGTACAATTAAATGAACAGTTGTATAATTTGTAAAATGAGGGATTGGTCCACCGTTAGGCAGACGGGGTAATCCCCTAGTTTTTAATAAAAAATAAAATGGGTGTAAAGAAATTTTCCAGTATAATGAAAATTAAAATACTGCTTTTTAAGTTATCAAGTTAACCTTTGCTGGCATTAAAATCTGTTTTTTCATCCTTAAAAAAAAGTTATGAAAAAAAACTTTTCAGTTAAAATATGTGGGGAAATTTGACACCTCGTGATCTCTGCTGCAAAAACCACATATAAAGAGATTCCTTTACTTTTGGTTGGCTGCCACGATTTCAATAATACCACACACTAAGCAATTCCAGTAATATTTACTGAGAAACAGATACATTTCTATTCCGTCTCTCGTCGTAAACTTGAACTTTTTTTTTCTTTCTTGTTCAGATTATCGAGGTCATCCTTTATAATCAGAATATTTAATTAAAAATCAAGACAATGTGCATTTCTTAATTATGAAGCAGATTTCAAAATCTCCACAGATATATATTTTTAAATTGGGGTGTTAAACAAGGCTTATGAAATGCACGATTTCAAATAAAAACATCAATATAATTTTTAACTTAGACTTAATTATAACAGTGTTTACAGTATTTTGGTTTCATCTTATGACAACTTAAATTTTTGTAAGTAAGTTTCATTTAACCATGAGTAATCAAGTCAAAAAGCTGAATGTAAAGCATTGCAATCATTTTAAAGAAATACAATTTTTCTAAGCTAAGAAATGGTAGATGTGGAAAGAATGGAATTTTGTGATGGGTTTAGAATGAAATTCAACATACAACCACAAAAAAATAATAAAAATTAGAATCAGAACATCAATACCTCTACGGTTTATTTGGTGGTGAGGCGTTAGTATAGAATACAGATGAATGTAATTTTTATATCAGTACTGATTGAAACAACACCTGGGAATAAATTGAGTCTCAAATAGACATCACAAAAAGAAGAAAATGTGGTACTTTCAGTAAAATAAGGTCTTTTCCATCATTTGATGTTTTAGGCCCAGAACACCTAAGTTATCACCACCCATTAATAAAGTAATACTATTAAAATATTTAGCTAACTGTAGCAATTGTAAGTAAAAATTATAGATGGCACAACATATTATTTAAAAAAATTAATTGCTATATGTTTTTCTTGTCTAACCTATTAAATATATGTATTTTTTGTCATGAACCATTTTATTTTACAACTGTATATTTTAATCATTATATAAATAGGTAAACACAAAACGGTTTAGCCCCTTTTACTCCTCTATGTTTATTAGATATTGACGAGCTTTAGTGATATCAATAAATAAAAATATTAAATAATAGGTAAATAAAATTATAAATGGTAGTTTTTCAAAACTGCTAATCTCCGAAAGTTATTCACTGATTTCTTTTAAATTTTGACACAACGTCGCAATAATATTTAGAAGTATTTGCTTTTGAAATGGCGGCCGAAAATGTGATTCGCTTTAGACTGTAGTGCCAATACCGCTTTAACGATTTCAATGAAACTTCGCTAAAGTCTTCGCCTTGAAACCTTTATAATTTATGTATATAACATACTTTCCCGAAAACAAGCTGCATACATTTTTATGATGAATTCAGTATTTTATTTGTGAATAACGCAAAAAGTACACATTTTTTTATTGATAATACCAATATTTATTCTAAAGCTATCTTGCTTGCTTTCCTATAAAATAAAATTAAAAAATCATCGAGAACGTTCGAGGACTATTTGTTGCAGAGATATATCATTTTAAACATTTAGTATGTTTTATTTAGCAAAGTTGATTTCTATTATTTTGTTTTTTGATAAATCGAAAATTTTGCATTTAATGAAGTAATCTGGACTATTATTTGAAGATATGATATCATTGAATGTTATTTTAATGTTCTAAGTAAATTCTATAGTTGGGCTCATTCTTAACTTGAATACTGCACAAGCATTAGTTAATGAAACATGAATGATAGTGAAGTACTGATGGGGGCTACTGTAAATTAAAGAATTTTAATTCCAAGAATTAATTTAACATTTTCTGACACAATACTAACATTCGACTTTCAAAGAACAACGTTCTTATTAACAGCTGCATTTGATACGACCATAATCAAATCGCAGGGTCAAAGTTTGGAGAAAATGTGTGTATTATTGCGACGTCCAGTAATTTCGCATGGACAATCACATGTAACAGCAAGTAGAGTATGTTCATTTAAAATATTGAAATTTATATTTTCAATGGCAATGGGCAAGGCTATGCACTAAACAATAACAGAATATTAGAAAAGAACACATTGTTTACAGTGAAGTTCTGAATAAAAGTGGATTTAAAGTGATTTGAAATTGCTAATTTAAATTTATTTTTTACTTGCTTAATCATAACATTAATTTATTGTGATAATAACACACATAAATTAAATATTTTTGAATAAGTCTATTTTGTATTACTTATAAATAATTTTAAGTAGTTTAAGCTCGATTTTTAATTGAAATTGAAATTTTGTTGATATTAATAAATGAGGATTTTTGAATCGTGATTTGCTCTTTATTTATTTTGTAATTAATTGTGTTTTCCTCAAATTTTTAATGACTATGGTCGAATTTTGACCACTGGGCAAACACTAGTAATAATAAATAATTAAGTGCCATGAATTTGATTTTAGTCAAACTAGTGTCAGTAAGGTCATTATTTCATTGGGGGTATTTTTTTTGTTTAAATACTGTTATATATACAAATTTAATTTTTATATTTTCTTAATCTATACAATTAAATATTAAAAATTGCCAGTACTATTTATGAAAACCATACATGTGTAAGTAAATAATGCTATCAGAAGGCCATTCAGCCATGCTTGAAGGCGTGCTCTGGTTTCTTCAGCAGCTCCCGGCTTCACATTATCACCCCGAGAACGCGTGAGCCTCTTTGGCAATTAATTTTCATGTGATGTTGATTAGATAAGAACAAGATAACTATTGATCAATTGGGGCATTCAAGAGCACTACAACAAGCTGAATATGATTAAATTCATTAAGATTAGACGGTTACACTGGGCTGGCTCTGTCTCTCGAATGGATAGTCCCAGGACCCTGGAACCTTCAAATGTTGGAGGAATTGCATAGAACAAGAACAGTAGGAAGAGAGGCAAGGTAGCTGAACGGAGTGGCTGTGGACGCAAGAGACCTCCTAATTATCTGGAAGTGGAAAGCTACATTACAGAACCGAGCCAACTGACA